GAAAAGAAAAGAAAAGAAAAGAAAAGAAAAGAAAAGAAAAGAAAAGAAAAGAAAAGAAAAGAAAAGAAAAGCCATGTAGACCTGAGAAATAAGAAAAACTTACTGGAGGTTTGAGATCTGAAATGTCCTCATTGTCCTCTATTTACTTCTGTGGCCCTGGCAGACTAATTGATGAATAACAGTTTTATGCTTTTTTCTTCTTAGACATTTTTGGTTTCCTCCAATATTAGTTTCTTCTAACTCTCACTTTTATAGAGATCACACTTTTTAACTCCTGAATAGAGTTGACTGATGTGTGTTTTTTGTATAAACTCTTTAGTCACTCATTGACATGCACAGTCTTTAAAACTATATTCCCTAAAACTTTAAGTCCCAACAATGTTGTTCAAAAACAAACAAACCAACAAAATTTATGCACATAAATGGAAGAGCTGATAAAAAAAAAAAAAAAAAAAGAACTATGGAACTAGAGCTATGATTCTTCATTCAAAAACTAAATTAAGTATAGAAGCTCCTAATCCAAATAAACTTTTCTCACAAACTTCTGTAGGTAGCTCTACAGTAGACTTTTCTCCATGTCCCCGTTTACTCTTCAGTGTAAAGAGAATGAGTAGTTAAAGATGTCAGTTACATCTGCTACATCAGGAACAACTCGGACATTACTCTTCATACATGGTAATCTGAGAATTACAGATCAGGACTCTAATTTTCCAAGGTTTAGCTTGCTAAAGGTAGGATTGATAAAGCATACAACAATCTAGCTTTGCATACATATACAATTTCCTATCCTGCAGTTTCCTGAGTTCAATAAATCATTAAAAATTATTAAGCACTTGGTTCTTGTTTGAAGGCATTTGAAATCATTCCTTTGAAAACATGGTTAGACTTTCTAAGTCTCATTCTTCTGTTATTATCTATGATTCCTGAAGTTAGAAAAAATACCAGTTTTGCATCTAAGAATCTTTCATTGATGAAGAATGGCAATAAATCCTYTAAAACCTCTCCAAAATTCCTCATAGAAAAAATCAAAAGGTAAGAGGGATCTCTGTGTCTGAACTTTCACCTGTTTCCTTTGTGTTCATGATAGTGGGTGTCTATGTTCTTGGTATCATCAAAACAATTACTCAGTGAATTTTCTCTCTGTGGTCATATCTTTAATTTGCCACATGATGGCCTCATTTGCTCAGACAATAGCTACACTAATCTAGACTTTCTCTCTCTCTTTTTTTTTTTTTTTTCCCTTCTCTTCATCACAGATGTCTTGTTCAACTCCTAATGCATATACTTTTTTTTTCCCCCCATCTAACCAGATGGGAAAACCTAATCAGCTTTTGACCTTTTGATTATTGTTCAGGATCCCCACTCTCTTTTCTACCGAAAGGAACAGCATCAATTCACGGTCCTGACAGTTTTGCGACTATGTTTATTAACATTAGAGTTCTTAAGATCTGAGATTATTTTAAATAAAGGCATAAACTGCTCTTGTCAGCTTGTACTATGTTAAGCAGTCTTACTGGAGGAAATCGATGATGGTAGGTAATGCTTATTTTATGTTCAAGTTGAAGGCCTTTAACATGTTTCTGATTTAATATTATTTATCATAAATATAATATTATTTACTATTATTCATCATAAATATAAAGTAAAAGGTTAGATAAAAGTCTTCCTATTCTTTAAATGAATTTCTGAGGGTTACAAGAGCAAGAAAGGGTTTTTTTGGCAAAATTATTTGTTACTTTAGGTAGTCATCAGTGTTCTGCCATGAACTTTTCAGTATGGACTAAATCTTTCAGGCCAAGGTATTAAAGATTTGCAGACACTTGCTGACATCGTGGAAACTTAAACAGACTTAATAGTATATAAGTATCTTCAAGTACTAGACCTTAGCCTATTACTTCTATAGCCACTTCACTACAGAAGTTGAGCCAGAAATGTCAAATAAGTGAAACATGAATCTTGGCTTGTGGTGCTTTACAATACTTTCCATAGTCTGGGTAATTTAATTGTAGATAGGCTGTTTGGTGTCATTTTCCTGACACTGCTGTCATTCTACAATGACTTTCACAYGGCCTATGATTTTTAAGGAACAGAAAAAGAAATTTACAGCATTGGATAGTAAAATGCTACAGTTATATTAAATGAAACCTTTAAACCTGCAAGACAATAAATTTTACTGTTGATGACAGTATTTCATGCCACTTGAATTTAGTATTTCATGTCATAGAGGGTAAAAGCATTATACAATAGCTTGATCTTACCACTAGAATATTTCAGTTTAATATACCACAAACATTAATATAGATGTATAATGCATTTTTATGTCACTAAATTAATAAAATAACCTGTAACAATTTAATTTTATGATTAGTAAAATTGGTTGCAATAAAGATATATAGAGATGAGAAATTACTTTACACAGGGAAGAAATTTSTTTGTGGGAAGAGATTGCTTCACAGGAAGTAATATCAGTATATTCAAGAATATCATGGAAATGTGTTCTGGAAGTATGCTCAAGAATTTAATATAGCTACACAACTTAAAACTCTCAGCTACCCACTGCAGAAGAAATTTGTTTCACTTCAGGAGATAAATAATTGCTTCAGAAGCAGTACCAGAGTTGGCTTTTCTGAGAAACAGAGCACTAATGAAGCTTCCTCTGGGTGCTCCTGAAGATCCAGCTTGTCCTGTTTGCTATGGACAGCCAATCCTCATCTAATAGCCTGCTAATCCTTCTTTATCCATCCATGCCTATACTGATTTGAAAGTTTTCCTTTCCTTTCCGTAAGTCTTATAGGACTTAAATGTTTTATCCATTGCCTCTTACAGCATTAGAGACAGAGAATCTTTACTAATTTTCACTATGGAAAACATATGATTTTCTGCAAGCAAACTCCATCTTCTGGGCACAAGGTATCCAGAGAGGAACACACTGTCTCCCTTGTTGTTTTGGTCAGGGGTGTTGTTTTGGTCAGGGGTGCCTACACGATGATAACCAGCTCCTGCCACAGAAGAGCTTATGGGTTCACTGGCCTGTGCAGTGGTCCAGAAATGGTGAGATTTCACACTCCTCCTGATTATCCCTGAACCTTGCAAGGAATGATTGGAGCCTTAACCAAAGCAGACTTTGGGAAGAGCAAAGAGGTGGCTTTCTGATGKGCTCTCAAGAGCAACAATGATCAAACAGGCTGTTCAAAACCACCCATTGCTGAGCATTCCCTGTTTGGAGGTGGACGACACAGATGTTCCCCTGAATAGCCAGCTGGCTCCAGGACCACTGCAAAACGCTGGCATGAACTGCTACCAAAAACTTTTTCCTCGTTAGAGTTTTACGTAGAAGTGAGCGAAGTCCAACCTCACTGCACAGCCCTATTCAAACTAGTCCTATTGATTGCTGAAAAAGTTTCCGAAACTGGTGAAAACAGATTAAGATCAGTCGTCATGGTAAGTCAGTAGATTTATTTCATCTGAGAGATATTATCAATGTTTGATGGGGAAGACTAAAGAACAAAACTCGCCACTGAAACTTCATTAGACTTTAAAATGCATTTTGCTTTTTATTTTGTATTAATTAGGGTAAACTGAGGAAACTAATGTGCTTTCAAATTAGATRCCCCCCAAGGATTATGCACAGGCATAGTCAAATCCTGTAAGAAAAAAACAATTTCCACTGCAAGTCCTGCTTAGAGACTGAAGATAGGCCAAAACTTTGACTTCAAACAGCACATCAGGATATAAGCCTTCAGTTTGCTTACTTGCTGTATTTTCAGCTAAATAYTGCTTGTTGTTTCCTGATGTACTTCATTTCTCAAACAGATTAAAATGGGCTCTGAAGATGAAACAAAGTCTTACATAAATAGCAAAGATGACAACAACGGTGTAGCATATCGGGATTATGGATCTGAAGGCAAATGGTAAGTATCCAAATTGATTTCAAAATATTCTACTAATGTTTTACCTTTAAATAGCTGGGTTTAAATCTTACCTCTAAACAAGACCCCAATAATCAAACGATTTTCCTTTTTGGGAAAACTCTTTGATATCTATTTTTTCTTCAAATATATATTAATTATTAACAGATAAATCCTATGGAATCCATCATGTCAAGTAAGTCTGGGCAGAAAGAAGTTTTGCTGGTGCCTTGTCACTGTGATTGAGATTTTCAGCTTGAGTTACTGAAAAATTTGCTGGTGTATTCACCCTTGTGCAAGGAGATAGTGGCTGCTTTATACCTGCTTTGTACCAAGGCTAATCTGAAACACTGAAAGAACTGTAGTAAGGGTAGATAACGGACAGCTAAATCCAAGCRTGCCTTGAAAGCAGTGTAATTTTAACTATAATATAGGGCCAATTTGGGTTAAATGTCCTGCACATTCTCCCCTGCTGGCCCATTTATCCATTTCAAAAATGAAATAGCTCACAGCAGAATGCACATTTCCTGAAAAAAAGAAATATATGCTATTGTAATTCTCTGTTTCATATGTTATGCATAATCTCTAATGCACTTCAGGGGTTAGTACTGTCTGAGTGGGATTTACAGACACCAGGTAAAAGTGGAAACAGAAACTCATCTCGATAAGAGTTTATGAAACTGCTGATTGACACAATGTTCCACATTCTCTAAAATAATATGTGCCAATGACAGCAGGAGAAAACCGAGTATTTAACCGAACATTGGACTTTCCAGTCTCCTAAGAAAAGCCCTATTGCAACACAGTGGAAAGAGTTTGACATTTCACCTACATCTCTAAAATGTACTGGATAGGCTTAGTTTTGTTTGGAGAGTGCAGGCAGAGTTTGGAAAGATGTCTATTCAGGTAACGGCCTTCTCATGCTTCCTATTTGGTTTTATGTAGGTCAGAGTCACTTATGAAAGCTCATCTCCCTTCCTTTTCATGCTAAAGAGGAGATACTTAAATCTGATTTAGACAAAAAGTTGTTTAAAAAAACAGAACTAAAAACTTTATTTGAGTGACTACATTCGAGCAACACAGTTTAATCCGAAATGGCCAACTGTGCTCATAATAATTAATTATTGCTTAAGCAAAAACTGATCACCCTTGCTTTCGGATCTAGAGTTGCCATGCTGTATAATGGCAATGCAATGCAGATAGGTTTACTACCAAAATGGAAACAAAACAAAAGAAAAAAACACTAAAGTTTTCCTATAGTAGGCTTAGCTAAAGATTATTGCTTCAGTTAACCTGTTTTCCAGGCAAAAAGCTTCAGCTTTTTCAACTGCAAGGCAAAACACATCATTTTAGCATGATTGACATAACTCTCCTTCCAGCCCCAAGAATCACATCATAGAGTTATACTGTCTGAGTAATAACTCAGAGAGTATCTTCACATAGTATAACTCATATATCCTTACATAGCACTTAGCTCTGAGTGAGGGAGATTAATTCCTGCAAGCAATTTTGCATGTTTAGTGTTTGTTTAGATCTATTTGCCAAATCCGTGTTGTCTAAACCTACCCTGGTGCATGCCAGAGCTGTCTGTGTAGCATGCAGGTGCACAGTAAGAAGCGTTCCCCTTGCTGCCCAAGGAGGTTCTGCAGTGCTTGACCAATATGAAGACTTTTAGACTCTTCACATGCTGTGAATATGTAATTAACCCCTGAAAAACAGACACTTGCCTGAACATTCAAAGCAATTTTGCTGAAATTCTATCTGTTCTTTTTTTGTTGTTTTTACTGCAAGCTCTGCTGGCCATGACATAGCATTTCATTCATTCTGCTGCCACCTCCTCCTTTTCCAGCTCAGTTTCATTTTCCCTTCTTTGTACTGAAATTCTTGTTTCAAAGAAAACATCAACTCTTCTAAGTTCAGTTCTACAGACTGATTCTTAAGATTAGAGACCAGTTAGCAGGATTGCAGGCTTACGATATGAAATGACACACACAGTCCAAAACTAACTTTTTAGTTAGTCCATCCACGTAGTTTTCAAAATATATTTWAAAAAATTGCCAATAAGTAATATTAGACCCTAATAGGGTCTTGAAAGGCTAGACAGGCAGCTTTAAATGATCAAAGAACTCCCCAGGCTCTTCTTCAAGAGAAAAGTGGAGTGCTTTATAGATAGGAGGAAACTAGTAAAGTTTGCTACATTATCAAACTCCCACTATAGATTTAGCTAAAGCCACTTTTAATAATTTTTAATGTCAGCTGTGATTTTAAATATGGATCTCACATAAGGACTTAGAATCTAGATCTAAACTGTCAGATTTCTTTCAGGAGACACCTTGTATTTGTACAACATCAAATCTGAAGATTTCTTGAATATTTTTTTGGCAGTTCAGAGAAAATCACTGAGCGTACATTGAAAGTTCTTATTTTATTTTCCTGTATCTCCTCCTTACATTTGAACACAATTAAGAGAATGCAGTTGTATTAATAATGCATTAGACCTGCTTTGATGTTTTAAGTGCTCTTCCTACTTAAAAACACAATCATAATTTTTTAGCAGTGGGGACAAGAAGAAACCTGAGAAACTGAATATGGTCAGTCCGTTAACAGTGGTAAGTTCCATGCAATTTGCGTATTTAGCAATCACATTGTACCGTAATTTTTAAAATATATTATTTTTGTATGCATATCTCTATTCATACTGCAGAGCTATACTGGAGGCACTTGGCTGTATGTGGTATAAAGTACTGAGAGATCTACAGTGGGAAGGGAAAATGGAGGAGAAAGGAAAGAAAGGCAGACAGAGATGGAGGGAAGTAGCTTAAATCCTGTCAGTGCTGGGGATTTTTACTGTAACAKCTCCCTCCAACAGAGGCTGACATTGCTCTATTAGCAGGTCGGTGGAGAGGGAGGTGTTACATAGATCTGAAATGTGATCAGTTGGAGACATGGCCAGAAAGAAAAGGAAAACCCGCTGCATAAGAGAATCATATAACAGAAATCTCTTTCATCTCCCAAAATAAAGCAGCCATGCTTTCAAAAGCACCTGGCATAGTCGCTTAATGGAATATTCTTAAAAAAACATTTTCAGACACATGGAAATTTTAGTTTAGTTCAAGTCATTCTTTTGCAGTTGATTGTAATTAATTAATATTATGCTGATTGCTAACTAGTGTTGTATCTTCTCAGCCATCCCTCACCCAAATCCACACTTACACACCAGCAAGCCACAGGAGAGATGCACAGCAAAGTTTACAATATAGTATTTGTTTTAACAAAGTGACTTGGAAGCACACAGCTTTAAGCTCTGTGAGGTCTTCCTTCATCTATAGGCTACAATATTTACGGCTTTGCAGTGTTAGAACAATCCTAGAGAAATCCAGGTTGGAAGGAAGCTCAGGAGGTTGCCTGGCCCAATGTCCCGCTCAGAGACAGGCTAAGCCTTGAACTTAGGTTGTTCTGGGCCTTACTCTGKCAATGCTGAAAACCCCCAGCAGGGGCAATTCCATGGCCTCTCTAGGCACTTGTTCAAGTGCTTGACCATGGTCATATGAATAACTTTTCCTGATATCCCATCAGAATTTTCCCTCTTACAGCTTTAGTTACAATAATATTGCCTAGCATCTTCAGGACTTCAGATAAAAATATACATGAAGAAGTGTGGAACGGAAGTCAGAGAGCAGCTCCTATCCTTTTTTAGTCTCAACAACTGCCAAAAGATCTAGGTTAATTAGTAGTAGACTTAGGATTTATTCAATTTTAAGTCAAATCTGCACCTAACTGAGAATCTGTGTCTGCTTTAGGAGAGAAACTTTTCTTTTTCTTCTTTTGCAAATGCCTATAAAAAACCAGTCTCTCTACTTCCTGGAGCATTTTTCCAGCATTTAAACCAAAACTGTTTCTGGCGGGTGAAGCAAGAGAAAAACACTGTTGCACAAGAGAGGAGTGATAACAGTGAGCACCAAATTCCCATCCTCCCCGTTATTTCCAATCTTATCGCTGCATTCAGCATAGCTCCCATCTTCCTCCTCATTTTCTGGAAAGCTGTTGGAAGCTTGCTGAATAAACTTACCAGAGCAAAAAGCAGACATACGTAATTCCCACCTCCCCAGACATGAGAACAAACACTAAATCGCTTGGACTAACCACAGAAAAACAGCTCCATTCCACTCAYGGCCACAGCAGAACCAGTTCCCCTCAAAGAACAGCTGCTGAAGGGCAGCCCATGGCCCCCACCTGCACATCAAGAAGCACAGCTTCCTTAAGGGATTGCTTCACACCCTTGGTTTTTGGGACACAACTACCAATTGTGGAGGAAAAGACCATGGATCCTCTTCTTGGCTGGGGAACCAGCGAGGAATCAGGTGAACTGATGCACCCGAGATGTCACGAGCTAGCTGGTGCATCCCAAGCAAGCGCCAGTGGCTGCACAGAGATGCCCTCCAGGATGCTGAAGCCTTCCCCTGCACTAGACAACTAAGGTCTTATGCTTTTACTGAAGGACTCATGCTCTTTATTATGCAACAAGAGATAAATTTTTGCCTATTTGTCTCATTTCCTTCTTCCTGACTTGGCACCTGGGGTCAGAAAGAAGCTCCTGCAGGTTGTGGCTCTCAGACCACCACACATAGGCACTATTTTTTCACTGTATGAGAGGTGATTTACCCCTCAGCACAAGCAGAAAAAGGTAACTCACARTTATCATGCACTGAGAGTCTATTTAGAGGCTCCTGTGGCAACAGCAGCCTGCTTTGACAAAAACTCAAGGTAATTATTTCTAGTTACCTACGTCCATACAGTATAAGTGATAGTGAAATACAAATAGCAAAAACTATAGTGAAATAAGTTATAGGAGAATATAGTACTCTCCTTAATAAACATTTCCTTAATAAACATCTCCTTAATAAACATTAAAATATTKAAGTTGTGCGAAAAGTGAGAATAAAGTAATAAAGTATATATCCTTTTTTACAGCTTCAAATATTGACCCTGTAGTTGCTTAAAGCAGTAAAGAGCCACTAGCCCCAAGTGTGTACATACTTAACATACTCTAATAGTGTATACATATATATATGTATGTATATATAAAATATTTTAATTTGTTACTTTCAGTTAAGAAATTCCAATGAAGGTAGTTAAATAGAAGGCAAATTGAACTGAATATAGACTTTTAGATATTTTATTAATAATAATATTTTGTGACAGTCATTATTAAAACACTTCTTAAGGTGTTATTTTATAATTTTACCATTTTATTTCACTTTATATAATAAAATACCATTATTTCACTCTTTTTCTGGTTTACTTCTTAGCGCTTGCTTCTGCATCATTAATACTGTGTTATTGCTCAAGGCATTCACTGCGATTAGTGACATTTTCAGTACATTTTCTTTTTTGCTTCCAGTTTCGCTACTCTGACTGGCTGGATAAGTCCCTCATGGGGCTGGGCACTACCATGGCCATACTCCACGGAGCAGGCCTTCCCCTCATGATGGTCGTCTTTGGCGACATGACAGACAGCTTTATTGCTTCAGAAAACATTACTTTCCCAGGTAGGAACTGTTGTTGGAAAAATGGCTTTTGCACAATGAACAATGATCTGATTGGGAAAAAAAAAATTAAAAAAGACAACAAAAAAGGACAGAAAAGCAGTTTGCCTGAGGCTTTGATTCCCAGGGAACCCATTTGCTTCCCAGGGAACCCATTTGCTCCTTCTTATCAGGTGCATTGCAGGTCCACTGGTAAGAGTCAACCAGGCTTTAATTTTGACCTGTTCCATATTTCCTCGATTATTCTTCTGTGCTTCTACACACACACCACTAGTTCGCTGATACTTGGGATACAAGGAAACATTGTCAAGTATTACAAATGGAGTTAAAGAATAGACGAATGAGAAATGGTAATAAACAATCAAGAGGCAAAATGTGCATCACTCACATACATAACCTACACATATATATATATATATAAAGGCCTTAGTTACAGAAAAAGTGCAATAAATATATGTCATCACAATAGTTATATATTTTAAATTATTGAAACTGTTGTGTCATTTTAGAGGGATATTAAAAATGTCCCACAGAGTGATTTATATATATATATATATATAAAGGCCTTAGTTACAGAAAAAGTGCAATAAATATATGTCATCACAATAGTTATATATTTTAAATTATTGAAACTGTTGTGTCATTTTAGAGGGATATTAAAAATGTCCCACAGAGTGATTTGAGGTTTATTTACCTTACCTGCTCCACAAAAAAAGCTCCTAATAGATGCCCACTTTTGTAATTGAACAAGAGATCTTCTCCTTTAAACTTAAGTCTTTTTTTTCCATAAAATAGAGAAAGTTGTTCTAATGAATATAATTTATTTCTTTTATGTGGCTCAAATGTGAAAATCTGATCCTGATAAAACCTTATCCTTCACCTTTTTGTCTAAACTAATGRAAGCTTATTTTATTTAAATGTGGAATTTCCCAGACTTCTCCAAAGACCTCCATGCTGCTTCTCACAAAGTCTAAATATAATGGGCAGAATCTAAATCTCAAAAGCTGTTATGGTYACTTATTGTAGAGCTAAACCAGAACCAGGCATCTTAATTTGAAATAAAAGTGCCAAACATATTCAGAAACTCCACAAYTGCTCATTGCTTATTCTCTTGAGTTGCAGACAAATCCTTAGACAATTACAGCTTTAGCCTTAGGCAACAAATAGTGATTAAATAAACACACATCCCCTGGACAGTTGGAAGGAAGTGACTCATATCATATTCACTAACTTTCTGAATCTTACTTATGAACTTGCATTCATAAAGTACATAGAAACACTATTAAATAAGGTGTGCTTTTTGGCTGCAGGATATTGCTTTTTATAAATATTCATAAAATCGGTATGCATTCAAGAGAAAAGATTGCATGTGAAATTCGGAATTCCAACTGGTGACTGTTGACTGCTCAATTTAAATATTTTCTTTTCTCCTTTCTTCTGGCTTTAGAAAACGCTTTTGCAGTGTGATTCATACTTCCAACTCCCTTGCACACAGTCAGGTGTGAAGTAACTGCTGCCTCTTAGGCTTCATTCAGCATTGTTGGAGTGTGAGCTTAAAGAATGAAATTATTAAATTGTGCTTTAATAAATATAATTAACATGTTTTTCTCTATTTTTTCCTTTAGTGAATTTTTCCTTACCAAACAATATATCAATGAATCTTTCAATAAAAAATGTTTATTACAATCTAATGGGGAAGTTGGAGGAAGAAATGACCAGGTAATTCGCAAGTTTTCATTCCCTTCACGGTTTCCTTTCTCTTTTTGTATAGTCTTCTAAAGCTAATTTTAATATTTAGCCCAAAATTAATCACATTTTCGTGCAACTGAGGGAATTCAGTTTTATGTTTTTAGGGTGAAGTCATTGTATGAGTCAGGTGGAAACTTGGGAGGATTGKGAAGTCAGACACAGTGGAGTTTCCATTAAAGTCCCAAGTTTTCCATTTTCATTTGAACTTTAACAACTACTACTACAAACACAAAAGAATGTCCACTCAAGTCACTCAAGTAATAATAGTGAATGCCACTGGAGGGGTAAATCAAGCACTTTTAAAGGGTATTTTAGTAGCTTTTTCTGTAATTCTTTATTGAACTACTTTAATATCCTTTTCTTCTTGAGGACAAAGAACAGCCAACAAATTTAAATGACAAAAAAAAAAAAAAAAAAAACAGAAAAATAAATTAGGCCAAGTAAATATGCTCATGTATTTTTACTATTTCTGACTGCATAAAATAGATGCAGGAAATTCAGTACAATGAGTAATTATACCTTCCTATTGACATCCTTTTTTGTTTGCTTATCTTCTAAGGTGGTAAGCACCAGTTATTTTCAGAGAGAGGGAACACATGGTATCATAGTTTGAGCAACTTCCATGTTTAGGATGGAAGGGGCATTGTTCCCTTCTCTCTGCCTACTTCTACCTATCTCATCTTTCTTCATCATTTTATTTCCATTTCCCTTTCAATTCCTTCCTTCCTTCCTTCCTTCCTTCCTTCCTTCCTTCCTTCCTTCCTTCCTTCCTTCCTTCCTTCCTTCCTTCCTTCCTTCTCTCTCTCTTTCTTTCTCTCTTTCTCTCTCCTCTTTCTTCACAGCCTTTTCTGTAGAAGGAAATAAAAAATAGCCATTTTTTCCACTTAAGAGAAGCAGATACCTTTAAAAAAAATAGGTCAGACTGTCCTTGAAGTTTGTCCTTGAAGGGACAAACTGTAAATGCTACTTTTGCTGTAAACCCCTTCCTTTTTAGTATGAGAATTAGGAACTATTGATACAAAAAAAATGTGACTAAATTCTGGAACTCAAATCTAAACACAAATATTGGGTATACTAGTCATACAGAAAAGCTGGAAGAATCATAGCTATGATATTCTCAACAATTGTCATTGAACAAATAATTCTGATTATATTTTAAAATAACCATAATTAATATAGATTTTTACACAGACATCAATTYATTCCATTGGGGTTTGGCATGAGAATTTTTGAAACAAATATTAATACTAATATTTTTTTTCCAGCTTCGCAGCATTTCATAGAATTTCTACTAGGCTGACCATGATTAATGTCTCCACTCAATTATTAATTTAATTTTATGCCATTAGTATTTTTCAATTTAAATATTATATATTTTGTTAACTTCTAAACAAAATACTTTTGACTCTTATTTGTAATGGAAGTATACAGAAGAGCTTTGCTTTTTTATCTTTCTTATATCTGCAGAACAGATTGCATTAGCTGTACCTAGACATCAGTTTGGTTATTTCTCCTTAAGAGTGCACACATATTTTAAAAGCAAACTCAAATTTCTTAAAGAAGCCTAAGCAAAACTAGTGATGATGGTGTGCAAACATTTAAARTTCAATGTCTTTTTCCTTCCTTTAGTAAATGAACATGCATTTCCCCCATGTTGCTATATTGCTCTTGGTTTTACATCACTTTAACATTTTTTAAAATCCTGTTCTCAGATTTTTGAAGCAAATTTCTGAATTGCAACCTATTGCTAGGATTCTAGTTTGAGTAGAATTCATTCAATTTTAAATCATTTCTCCTATATGTTTCCTTTCAGATATGCATATTATTATTCTGGAATAGGAGCTGGTGTTCTTTTCGCTGCCTACATTCAAGTTTCATTTTGGACACTAGCCGCTGGCCGGCAAATAAAGAAAATTAGACAAGAATTTTTCCACGCTGTAATGAGACAGGAGATTGGATGGTTTGATGTAAATGATGTGGGGGAGCTCAATACTAGACTTGTAGAGTAAGTATTAATATCAGTTTATTCATCACATTAATAACTATATCATAATCATTATGACTGTTAAACATTGGCACAATATGTGCCTCAGAGCAGTGATGTTTTGTCTTCCTGAACTCATCTCTAAGCTATATATCATTTAAAAAGAGATGTTGGAAAATGCTGCTCCATGCTCTGTTTTGCCACAGTTTGTAGTTTTGTTGAATTACAGCTCTTACAAATGTGATTAAATATACTGAGAATGTATGATGTATGAAAATAATGATTTTCTGTGATTTTCACACTTTTCTATTTGTTTGGATGTCATTTGCTTTTTTTAGTGACATATCCAAGATTAATGAAGGAATAGGGGAAAAAATTGCAATGTTCTTTCAGGCAATAGCTACGTTTTTCACTGGATTTATAGTTGGTTTTACAAAAGGGTGGAAATTAACGCTTGTGATCCTGGCAATCAGCCCTGTTCTGGGACTCTCRTCAGCTCTCTGGGCAAAGGTAGGAAAAAATGACATTTTTTTATAATGATCTGTTAATCTGTATTTTAGATAATCCCTTTTCTTTAAAGATTTAAAATACATTATTGCTCTTAGTGAAGTTAGAGGTGTTAGTGAAAAACTTTTAGCTTAGACCTTGCCTACATTCAGAAAACTCTGAACAAGCATGATGACACCGTATAGCTKATGTATAAGGAAGTTTGCTTAACTGTAAAATACTCTTACATGGAAAGGCAAAAAGTAGCAATGCCTTTGCCTCCTTCCTGAATCTCAACAGCTGCACCAAAATAGCTAAGTGCTATCAATAAAATAAATAAATAAGTGAGGTAAAATACACAGTTAAGGTCATCCTAGGTAGCTGCCAGAAATTTCTGGTATGAACCTGCAGAAAATCAGGTTCCTCATGATAACCCTTGTCTGTTGGCTCCGACCCCGCAGTGACAAGAGCATCACACCCACGTCTGGAACATGGGCACAAAGAGGCACCACCATGGAGCAGCCAATGCACCACGAGCTGTGCTCTGACTTGTTTCTACGTCATTTGCTCAGCTTCCAATGAATAAAAATCACATACATGAAGTGGCGTAGACTGTTCAGAGAAAAAAAAAAMAAAMCCCAACAGTCTTTATCTACAAAACTGTAGTTGTTTTTGAGTAGGAGTTTCAAAGATACATAAGGACATTTAATACTAATCGACCATTGAATTTCAATGACACTGGGGAGCTTGCCCTTTCAACCAGGATGAAAATCCCAACCCTATTTGAAATGTGAATTCTTTAATACTTAGTAGGATTTGGGGACTCTGCTATAGCTTGATCTGCAAACTATTGCATATCAATAGCATTAAATGTTTTTTCTCCATATACTTTTCTGGCAATTTATTGTCCTGAGATAAACCAGAGCAGCTTGATGCCCACTCTGCCCTACTCAGATACTAAYGGCACAAATCTGAGTGCAAGGAACCTTGGAGATCCACAAGAGATCCTCTAGCTTTCCATACTGATGGATGTGCAAAGAAGCTGAACTTCAGCCTCAATTCAGTCTCATCTTTTGTGAGCAGAGAACATGCATTTTTCTAGTAAAGACTTTTTACGCAAACTAAGCCTTCTCATGATGTGCTTCATCAAATTGCTGCCTTAGAAGTCGCCTGTGAAGTCTGTTGTCTTTATGACTATAATAAAGTACATAGGAAGCTATTCAATAGATTAAGAATCCATAGACATCAGAGCAATATTTGAGTAGGACAGCTAAATGATTTTGCTTCTTCACAGATCATTTCTGCATTCACCAACAAAGAACTATCTGCATACGCAAAGGCAGGAGCTGTTGCAGAGGAAGTTCTGGCAGCAATTCGAACTGTGGTGGCATTTGGGGGACAGAAAAAGGAAATTGAAAGGTTAGAATATTTTCCTTCATTGACTGTTTTAAAAATAGTGATTAAAAGATTCTGAATCTCAATATTTTTACTATTGAATTCTATTTTCTAACTGTTTCAAAAAGCATCACAAAGCATGAAGCATTATAGCCATACATCTAGCGAGAGTCATAAGCAAAAAAGGGAAAGCATATGGTAAGAAAGGTGTAACAAGGTCACAGAGTGATGCTAGGCACATGTGTTTATTTTCATTGTACTGTGGAACATCATTCTTGCTATCTGTTTGATCTTTTATCTAAAGATAACCACCCCTCACAGAAACTGGCAATAGTTTTTCAGACTCAAAGTTCAATAACACTTGTGTCATCCACAGTAAGCACATGTAACTCATGCTTGACCTGGTTTTCTTTTTATGCTCCAGCTGCCAATGCTCCCTGTTCTCGGCAGCTAAGGAAGCCCTTAAGGTATCCGGATTTTGCTTCTCTGTTCACCCCAGCATGTCTGAGGCCATTTACCACCCTCATACCTGAAAAGCAGTCAATATGACAGCAATATGGATTTTTAAAATTAAAGATTAGTTCTAATCAAATACTGCTGTCTTGTGCTTAGGAGTCTGCATCTTCTAAACACTTCTTACCCTTCAGCTGGTGGCCACTAAAGCGGACAGGACATCAATAAAAAAAAGGGAAGTAGAAAGGAACTATGTGTTGATGGTGGTCAGTGTCCTCACTTAGAACTTTTATAGAATTTCTGACAGAGGACAGAAGGTCTCTGCATGTCCTGGAAATCCTCGACACAATCTGCCAACAGCTGAAAAATGAAAAAGACTGATATCTAGTAGCAATGATATCTGAGAGAAACTTCCGAAATATTGAGGCTCACTGCATGGGAGATACATCTCCTTGTGATCCAGAAATGGAAAGGACGTGACTGGGTCCTGCTATTGCAGTTAACAAATACGGCAAATATTTGCCCCGAATAAGCCTAAAAGCCCCATCCAAAAACCAATTACATTCTTAGCTATGCTGCTGTGGAGAGGTTATCCTAGTAAGTGAGCATTTGAAGGTTGGACATGCTTTTCTAGCAAAGAATATAAAACTTCCTATATATTCATTTGTTCCCATGCTAGAACTAAACTTGAGGTTTATTAGGTCCCTGAACATTTTACTTCCCGTAACATTTATAGAAATATTTATATAAATGATAGCTTTTCTCAGGTTGATTTTTTAAACCAACCAAATTTCAGTATAGGTTTTCCCTTTCATTTATCAACTTTATTTTTAAAATGTGTGATTTTTCTATTTTAAGGAATTGCGGTTCTTCTAGTTCTGTAACTTTTATCCTTCAACATCATGTATCTGGTTCTGTAAGATATTCTGAACCTCCTTTGTACTGAGAAACCCTTTCAACTTCACGACAGCAGGAAATTTCATCATCCTAATTCTTTATGTCTAAGTCATTAAAAAACATAAAAAAGATAAACCACATGACTGACAGAGGAATTCCTCATGTTATCTCCCTTGGGCATTACAGTTCCCTGTCAAACACTGCTATCTCCCTTCAAACACTTCCTTATCGTACTGTTCTTTTGCTACTTAACAACTACCACTTCATTAATAACTTATCCTATGTCTTTAGAATCAATTAGCATTAGATGGTTAAATGAAGTCCAGATGGATTAGCTTTACAGTTTTTCCCCACTAGAAAAGGCAATATTAAAGTAATTGGGTTAATCCTTCTGTTTCATAACCCACTGTCCATTTCATTTTATTTTAAATTTATTTCTGTGTTTATTCCATTCTTCAAGATCAGGTTATGAACTTTATGTACTCTTCTTGTCAAGCTACAATCTTGTAATTTCCCAGATTTCCCAGGTGTTATATAATAACCCGTATCTTAGAATTCTTCAGCCCTGTGGCTCTGCTCACAATTTGAAAATAGTAACTAGAAGCTCTTGCTACTAGACTAGGGCTACATTTGTTAGCTTGTTCAGAACTCTGGGATAAAGATTTTCATTTTACTGAAAACTGAGGCAGAGCTATCTAGGTTTGTAACTACAGTATCTCTGGTGTGATCTTAATCTCAAGTCTATTTTCTAAACTTCAGAATCTTGATATAGAAAACCTTTGTTACTCTCATTTTTTTCATCTGTTCACCTTTAAGTAGTTCAACTGAATACACTGTAAAAAAAATCTCTTTTTTTAGTGTTTCAAAAAGAAACTTGTCAGCTGTCATTTCTCACAGCACACAGGGCATGTAACTATTGTTAGCATTTGATTCTTGGGTCAAACATTTCTGACAGACTTAGTCCCTTTTCCATTGTTCAAATCCAATCTAGAATATCAGATACCTAGCACCTTCCTAAGACACTCTTTTACATTTGTTCTCCAAAGAGCTTTTAACATATATTGATCTTCTCTTACCTATATCACCGTTTCTTTCTTCCTTTACCACATACTGCAACATTTATGCAATGGTTATCCCATCCTCATTACCTTAGCTTTTTCCTGTTATTGATCCTTCTGCAGCTTTGATATTTCTGTACATGAAAATCACTTTTTAGAGCTCAGTACCTCTCAGCTTTTCCACTTTCTTACTCTATCCTCGATCTGTCTCCAAGTCTATTCTCAATCCTAAATGTCTCATATAGGCTACTCGGATGGAATCTGTGCTTTAGGAAAAGACCTCTTGCAGTCAGTCCTTTCCTATGGCTGAACTTAACTTTCCTTATGACATTCTTCATTAGTATTTGCTGGGACCTGTGAGGTTCCACTGAAAAACACAAATTTACCGTTGTTTCAGTGCTTTTCACCACTAAATTCACTCATCTAGGACTTGTATCAGACAAAATAGATGAGCAAAATTTGTTGTAATATAAAGGATGGTTAATACATTTTCCTCTATTCTCAGCAAGATTATCTCAGGATTTGATTATTGATTGTTATATTCTTTTATTTATCTGGGAATTTATGTCTATGTTCAATGAAAGCAAGAATAGTAAATTCCTGTATGTCTGTTTCTTTCAGATATCAAAAAAATTTAGAAGATGCCAAACGCATTGGAATAAAAAAAGCAATTTCAGCCAATATTTCTATGGGTATTGCTTTCTTTTTGATATATGCATCATATGCATTGGCCTTCTGGTATGGAACCACTTTGATACTATCTCATGAATATACACTGGGAAAAGTCTTTACAGTAGGTATTCACCAATTTTTTGTTAACAACATTAACCAAAAAATAGTGAACTGATCCTGTGTAATCTTACTGGGATATTCAACTTAAATTATGAGTCAGGTTGAAGTCAGCTTTCCAAAYGGCATTTTTCATTCCTGCTAACTAAAACAAAAACAGGAGGTGTAAAGCATAGCTTTGCTTATCATGGATATTTCCGTAAATTGRGTGGCAGCATAAAAACCATTCGCCTTGAAATCATTGGTTAAAGACCAGCTTGGAGYAGTAATAATTAAAAGCTATAATTTCTATATTCAGTTTTGGATCTTTGATAAACAACAGATAAAGCTTCTTTTCTTGGAAGACCTGGACTATAAATGTGGTTTAATTTTTGATCCCAAATGTAGCATGCCTGCTACTAAGCCAATTTTGCATCTTGAAAGAAGGAAACTTTAGACTGCTCTTAAGGATTATTTTTTTCCTATCAATGTTTATCTTTTCTGTAAATGACTGATATTTGTTTACTTGCTGCTTTGTCTAGACTTCCTTCCATTGSATAGCATATATGAGACTGCTTGAAGTAATGCAAACTAATATTCTCAGATAATTGAAACTTATCAATTAGAGTTAAGAATTCCTAGCTGTGTACTATGTTTGTCATTTTTTACCCCTTAGGTTTTTTTTTCCATATTAGTTGGAGCTTTCAGTGTTGGACAGACTGCTCCAAGCATGGAGGCATTTGCTAATGCAAGAGGAGCTGCCTATGCGATCTTCAGTATCATAGACAATGTGAGTATCTTCTCTGTGAAGGTCATCTGAAAATGCTGAACATCGGACTTTCCATTCTGAATAAGAAGTTAGCAAGCCACAACATTTCTCTGTACAATGCACTAACATGGACAGATTCAGCCTAACACAGTTTTGATATTGGACAAATATCTAAATGCTGTGATGTGAGCCCACGAATGAAGCAGCTGCAAATTTTGTCTGTCATTATTTACACACACACACACACACACACATAATATAACTGAACTTAGGGCTGTGTTACTGCACAACTTTAATGAAGCAAGGCTGAGGTGTCTGCTCACATCTTTTTCCCTCTGAGATCACGTCTGCCTTGCAGCTTGGGGTATGCATGCAGCTGTTGTAAATATATTCATGCCAACTCATGTAGCTCAACTTGAGCTACCAGAAATGACACCACCAGAAATGACACACCAGAAATGACACCACCGTGACTGAGGAGGATCATTTGGGCTGTCACACTTGCTCACCGGGATGCTGGCAGACTCTTGGATGGCTAGTAAGGACTGAACCTCTGATATAACATCATAGTGACTACAATGCTGCTTTAAAACTAATCTTGGGTTTTTCTTATGAAAGTTCTGTCTTTGAGTTTTTGTGCCAACCTACTTCTGATTCTTGAGTGTTCTGGGTGGGAATGGAAATCCATTAAAACCTAACTCCCTGTGTGGTAACTGCCACAGTTGGCATTTCTGACAGTGTATTGAAGACAACAGTGTAATTATGAACACAAAATACTGTTAGCTGGCATGTTAATGTATAGGTTCCTCCTTCCTGTCAGTTATATTTTAGCTCATTTCTATCACTGCCTAATTTGCACCAACAAGGACTCTCTTTGCCTTGAGTCTTAGCCTTAGTTATGCATCTCTGAGACCAGATTTGCCAGTAACATGGGTTGGAAGTTTCATACACTGCTAAAATTGATGTTTTCATCCAAGATGCTTTTCAGTGAGATCTAATGCAAATTTTACAACCCTATATCATGATAAAATGACAGCTGGAATCTAAACTTTTTTTTTTCTTTTTTTTTTTTTTGCATATTATTCTGCATAGGAACCTCAAATTGACAGTTCTTCAGACACTGGCTATAAACCAGACCACGTCAAAGGGAATTTGGAGTTCCACAATGTTTACTTCAATTATCCAGCCAGGCCAGATATTAAGGTATTATGCATGGGTGTGATACAGATTCCATTTAAGATAACTTGTTCTAGAGAAAGAGAACAGTTGCTATAACAAAAGTAAAATCCTAGAACTAACAGAAACTTTAGTTTTTAAACAGAACCAATAATTTATTTATCCAGAATTGGTTAGTTAACTTAATCMAGAGCTTTTTAAATAAAATATAGCTATGCAATTTTATTAACTAGAATCTAAACATTTGGAGGCCTTTATAAGTGAAAAATATAATAAAAACTTGGAGAAATTGGCACATGATTTATTGCATTTGCAATGCAAAATCTGCCAAAGGAAGGATTGTTTTGTTCCAGATCTCTCACAAAGGGGTGCCTTGATGCAATTAAGTGGAGATGAAAGAGGTCACAATGATTTCTGAGTGTACATCTATTAAGACTATACTGAAAAAACATCTACTTTTCCTATGAAGGTAGTTTGTTAACCTAGAACAGGGAACTGGTTTCCATTTTGTCTAGTATGAAGACAGAAGAACAGGGCTTTCTTGGGCAACATTTAAAGAGATAGACTAAGAAAAATATCTTGATTCTCAAGATATCAAGAGAAATCAACTGGTAATTATATCAGCAGTCATAAAAATCAACATGAAGACTTCTTTTGTTTCTCACATTTGTATCAGGTTTCAAAAAAATTCTAGTGGTTGTAAAGAAGCACTGTAAAGAAAGTATAAAATTAAGAATATAGTTTAGTATTATGTTATTTTGTCATATGAACAAGCTAACCGTATGGGTAACTGTGAAATGTATTGTGCAATGTAATATGATTAACTGGTCTAATGTAATTAGACCAGTTCTCGTGTAAGATTGAAAAAAAATCTCACTCTGCTCATTAGAGTTCTCCTACATTTAAGCTCACATTTTTATATATCATGTTTTTTCTAACATATTTCTTGAGGTACTGAAAGGCTTGAATCTCAAGGTTAACTGTGGCCAGACAGTAGCCCTCGTTGGTGGCAGTGGCTGTGGGAAAAGTACAACTGTTCAGCTCATCCAGAGATTTTATGACCCCAAGGAAGGCATGGTAAGAGAGCTCAAGTGAGATGACTGCTATGTTCAAACACAAACAGAACACACCTTGTTTGAAGTCCAGCCTCTGGCCTTGTTGCCCTTGTTTAAACGAAACAAGAAAGTCTCCTCTAAAACGGCACAGGCCAAGATGGTGTGAGCAATAGCAGACACTTGTCATCTGCATCCCTTTGTTTAGGTTACCATTGATGGGCAGGATATCAGGAGCCTCAACGTCCGATATCTGCGGGAGATTATTGGCGTGGTGAATCAGGAGCCCGTGCTGTTTGCTACTACTATTGCAGAAAACATTCGCTATGGCCGTGAGAACGTCACCATGGAAGAGATCAAAAAAGCTACCAAGGAAGCCAATGCCTACGACTTCATCATGAAGCTGCCCAATGTAAGCAAACCTGCTCTCTTGGTGAAGAGCCTTAGGTGGGCTCTCCCTAAACCAGCCGGTAGAGGAAGTTCTTCCTGGAGCTGTAACTACAGGAAGTTCTTCTTGTGAGAATAAAGTTAATGTCAACTCTTTAAGCCGTGGTTGGGTGAGCATTTCTGAGGACTGAGAAATACTAGAACTTGAGGGAYGCAAAGAATGAGGAAGGCACTCACTTTCAAACGRGTGTTTAGTGTTTCAGAACGGGGCAAAAATCCTGCTGGTGCTACTAACACAGACGTGGCCTTTCTTTATGCTGCCTTTAWTTGGTGAACGTATYGTGCTGTGGAGTGTTCTGAAAGMGTGTGTTGTGTCTTGCAGAAGTTTGAAACCCTGGTTGGAGAAAGAGGGGCCCAGCTGAGCGGAGGCCAGAAGCAGAGGATAGCGATTGCCCGTGCTCTGGTTCGCAACCCCAAAATCCTCCTGCTCGATGAGGCCACCTCAGCCTTGGATACTGAAAGTGAATCCGTTGTGCAGGCAGCACTGGACAAGGTCAGTATTGCTCTGGAGTGAAGTAGGTGAGCAGGAGCCTGTGGTTCCCTTTTCWCAGATGTTCATTTRAAGAGTTGCAAGAACTAGAGACCCCTAAAAGGTCAAAAGTAATTCTGTGTTTGGCAAATGTTCTCTGTTGATACAAAGACAGGGTGCTCTAAATGATTATAAAGTGCAAAATGGTTAAGAATAAGCATGAAAATAAATGTATTAAAGTTCACTGGCCCTATGTCAGGTTAGGCAGACTGCCATGGTGAAGTGTCCTGTAAGTGCCTGTGGAATTCAGTTCATGATACAATGAGTAGAACAGAATTGTCTCAGACTTTCCCCATCAGACTTCAGTTTTTGCTGCAGTGGACAGCACAACACTGGCTSAGATATGAGTTTTCCCAAGCAGCCTTGGATCTCATTATGGGCCATGTTCTTTTTAGTACTAGGCAAAGTAATTCAAAATAAACTTGGTTGATTTTGTAGATGTAGCTGCTGCTACATTTTGGCTGCAGTCTAGACGTAGCTAGACACCTAAACAACCGAAATAATAGTCAACCCTGTATTTCTTGTTGGCTGCTGTGCTTAGTAAGTGCATGAAGTGTTTATAAAACAGTCCTGCCTATTCCGCAGGGTGAATCAATCATATTCCTTGTTTTGTTTTTATCTCTCTGTCTCTGTCTTTATGTATCCCCATGATCCTCTGGGTGAATTTGAATTACCAGCATTGCATAAATGTTTTTAGCACTGATGACAGAGTTTATCTGTGGACAATTTYTTTAGAAAGCATTTTGCTTCTATATGCTTTTCTGCCGTAGGGGAAGCACTTGGCTCTAACCACTGTGTGGGGCTGTCTCTGAGAGAATCAGAGCACAGAAGCCACGTTCTTCGCTTCAAAGATTCCCTAATTCTTTCTTGGACACTTAACTCTCATTAATTTCAGTGATAGTTAAGGTCACTGTGCACTAGTCCTAATTCCTAAGAATTCCCACTACTTTGTGAAACTATATGAGTCTTCAAGTTCAGACATCCTTCAAGTTCAGACTTCCAACCCTAAGCACAGCAGGCCAGAGAACTGCTGAGAAGCATTCAATGGGATCCCAACGTGCTGCTGCAATACGAAATGTATACAGCCCGTTTAAACAAGTTACCTAGCCTCTCACCTCTCCCACATATCTTTAAACTATGTAGTATGGCGAGATATCTCCCCGTGAGCACATCTGGCAGAGCGTGCCAGGAGGGCTTGCTCAGACTAGACGAGCTCTGGGGCTGCTGATGTTAAGCAAGATGAAATATGGCTGTAGTGCCCTGGTATTCATTTGTCCTGCTCTTGCCTTCCTGCTCTTCCCTTTGCAATGATGAATATCTACCTGTATAGTAAGTTTACGTCACATCTAGAGAACACTTTTTTCTACCAGCTTCATCAAAATTCTTAATTTCTTGTTGAGGAGGCTTTCTACATTTTATGATAAAAGTCATTTACTTGCTTTTCTTCTTAATTTGATTTTAACCTTTTATGATTATTTCAGACATAATGAAGCTTTTAGGTTACCAGGAAACTATGTTATTTTTCTCATGGAATAATTTGAATCAATGTACTTTAGAGTCTTTAAAAACATGAAGCAATATTAAGATGTCTACTTTAGCTGGGAATTCTTTCACACACAAYAATTTTCATTCTCATTTCCCTCATAGAAATAGAATACATCTCATAGAATACATATTAGCTTAAATCTAGCAGTAAACAGTATCAATCTAGCAGCTGAAACTATTAAATGAAGACTTAAAAATGAATTATACAGAGCTTGGATTAACTTGTTGGATCACTATATGCTAACACCATTTTATTCCAAAGCATAATGTCCAAAAGTGCTTATAAAAACTTTGTCATGTCAGAATAGATATTTATGGGATTTATTTTATTATTGGTGAGTAGTTAAAAAGATATAATACTGAGGTGGATAACTGAAGAGTCATAGAATCGTTAGGGCTGGAAGGGACTTTTAGAGATCATTTGCACACACAGGGTCACTCAGAGCACGGGGAACAGGGAGGCATCCAAGCAGGTTTTGAAGATCCCTAGAGAAGGAGACTCCACAACCTCCTTGGCAGCCTGTTCCAGGGCTCTGTCATCCTCACTGTTAAGAAWTTTTTCCTTAAGTTCCTGTGGAACATTTGGTGCTTCAGTCTGTGGCCCTTTCCTCTAGTTGAAGTGATTTCATAGCTAGAAGTATTTTAAGTACAATTTTAGATAAATTTATTTTCAGCTAAGACAACTGAGTAATTTAAAGTAAATTTACAGTGTAACTGATTCATTTTAAATTTTGTGAAATACTCTTATGTAGAACTGTCACTGATAAACTTAATGGCATACATTCTTTGTCTCAATAAAATTGGATACATAAACCTATAACACACTAAGCAGGCAGTTTTGAAAAAAAATATTAGATACTTACTTTAAGAAAGTAATAGTCTGACATGCAAAACCGGATTACCTTCATTTATTTTTTAAATCAAAAATGTTTTGTAATATTTAATGTAAATTATGTTTTTTCTTTCTCAGAGAGAATGAAAGATCCTGTGTAATTCATTTATCTACTGATCATTTTGATGTTTACTGGAACACTATTTCCAAGGAAATGGTTTGATTGAAATATTTTGTGAGGAGAAAAAATACTTGTAGAGGAGAAATGCTTTAAGTACCTGAATATGCTAACGTGGAGCTGTTTTTGCACTGTTTCCAGGTGAGGAAAGGACGCACCACACTTGTCATTGCTCATCGTTTGTCAACGGTTCGAAATGCGGATCTTATAGCTGCCTTCGAAAATGGTGTCATCAGAGAGCAAGGAACACATAATGAATTAATAGAACAGAAAGGAGTTTATTACAAACTGGTTAATATGCAGGTAGCTAATGGTTTTTTTTTTTTTTTTTTTGGTAACTTTCTTCATATTATGTGTTATGGATTTAACTGGATTTTTTCCAAATGTCTCTAGCTTCACAATGTTTTCTAAGTAGAGAAACTAGAGAAAAAAAGCTTTCTATGAAGATTACTAATCTTCCTAACAGGAAAAAAGAAGCAAAAGTAAAATGTGTAAGTTCAATTTAAAGAGGTAGAAAAGAGGGAAATCTGAGCATAAAAAAAGTTTAAATTAAAGTATGGAATTAAAACCAAAGTGCAGAAGATAAAAATGAAGACTRTAATAAAAATGAAATTCTGGAGCTGATTAATTCTCAGTTTCTTTTATCAAATTGTAGAATCTTAACTCRGGTTGGAAGGGATCTCTGGAGTTCATCTAGGCCAGCAGCCCCACTCAGCACAGGGATGACTCTGCGGTCAGGGCGTATTGCTCAGGATTGTGTCCCATTAGGTTTGGAATATTTCCACGGATGGACTCCACACCCTCCCTGAGCAACTTGCTCCACTGCCTCACCACCCTCATTGTGAAAATGCAAACGCTTTTACGCAAGCATTTATTTTAACCCACCAACTTGTCAGTGACTCAGGCGCCTGAGGCTTTGTCACTCAGGCATGGCCTATTTTCAATATTTTCATTTTCTCTCCTGAACCTCTCATACAGTGTCTCCCAGGCCTTATCTTTGAAGCAGGTGGAAGTCTTGCTTCTATTCTCGTGGCTCCCTGTCTTCATGTTGACTCTCCTGTTGTCCTGATTCTCTTTCACATTTGATGCCATTACCTTTCATATCATTTTTGCATTTTAAGGGTATTTCTCCAGGGTTTACTCAATTCAGTTCTCCTATGTGTAGTCAGAACATGTTTAACGTGACATGCCAGAACATGTTTTTTCAGTTTAACATAAAAAAAAACCTTTATAACTACAACTTCTCTCTTAAGTGTGAGATTTTTTAGGCAAATTTTGCACTGAGTATAAAGATAACTGCAGGAAAAATTTAATGCTTGTTTATTGCTTTGCAAAATTATTCAGTTCTTATCCATCTTCCATTTACTTAATGTATTTTTTGTTTGTGTTTTTAATTTGAATTTACATTCATTTTAAGGATGACATACAGGATGATATGGCTTTAAATGATTTTTAGCATCATGTTGTTTTTCATTTCAGACATCAGGAACAGATGACCAGTTAGAGGAAGAAGAAAATGCACTAGATATCTCAGAAATGGCACTGAAAGGGTCACTACTAGTGGGACAGAAAAGACAGTCAACTCGGAAAAGCATGAAGAGGTTCAGAATACAGAGTGATGAACTTGATGTAAAAGCTATCCAGCTTGTGAGTGTCTTCATGTTCTTATCTGCATAAGTAATAGGATGAAAAAGAAACATGATCCTTCTTAGTGTAACTTAATAATGAAAAATGCAAGGATAGTCTGTAAGTCTGGTTAAATGTCATAAAATGGCAAGATGACACAAAAGAGGTCCTTCAAAATGCTTTTTTCCTCCTGAAGCTGAAATTAATTTTGCTGTGATATTTGAAATAGTTTAATTGTGTAATATTATGAAACAAAATTACTTGACTATGGAAATAGTCTAAGTAGGCTTAGACTATTTAAATCATTCTATATATCCTCTCTCTGTATATTCTATTTCACTATATAAATCATACAATTTTAGAGCAAATCCACCCCTGGTTATCAGCTATATAGCTAAAATAACACACTCAATAGAGAGTAATTACTTTTTTTTTCTAGAAACTATTCTCCTTTTGTCTGAAACGCATTTCTTTGACAAAAAATCACTGAAAATTATGCTAATTTTCCATCTGACTGATGTCCTAAATATGCTAGAGGTCATATTCAGCAATGAATGAACAGCAATTCATTAAGCATTTGATACAAATTTCCAACTTCCTCCACAATCCCCCACAGATGATAACTGGGATTGGTAACTAATCCTCTTTAAGAAAGGCTCAAAATGTTATTGGTGGAAGAAATAAGAGGTTATGTAACATTCATTGATTATTTTCTTTCTCTTTTTTATATTATTAATGTTAGGTACTGAGTATTTCTGAAATTAGTAGATGGGGTTTTTAAAGGTCTGGTGGTTTGGGGTTTTCCCACATGGGAGAAGGGAGAAAGGAACAAATTATACAGATTATGTATGTCCTTTATTATTTCAGTGAATAAATGTAGTCATATTTATCATGATGGAATCCTTTTATTCTAGGATAATGATGTGCCTCCAGCTTCCTTTTTTAAAATTATGAAGTTGAATAAAACTGAATGGCCTTACTTTGTTCTTGGAACTTTATGTGCAATTGTCAATGGAGCCTTACAACCTGTATTTTCAGTCATAATATCAGATGTTATAGGGGTAAGTACAAAAAGAAGTGAAAACCTTCATCACATGCTTTACTCTGTGTCGTAGTTTCCCACTTCCCTTGAATTAGTTTATAAGGAACTGTTATTTTTTTTTTAATATTTGCTTTTAACTACACGCCAAARGCAACACTACATGTTGAACAGTGCCCTGCACTGCAAAGGGGAGGAATGGCTGAAGATCCTTGCAATAGAATTGCAGAATTTCTGCTTGAAGGTGCACGGAGGAGTGATACCAAAGGCACATCTCTGTTTTCAAGCAAAGCAGCTTATTGAGCCTGAAGGGAGCAGAGGAGAGGTTCTGCTGTGACCTCTTCTAAGCCAGTTCACCTCCATGCCGTCTGTAACCGACATCGTTAGGATGAGCAGCACAGGTGCAGAATATGCTCCTTGTGATGTCTTCCCCTTCTGTGCTCCACAATAACCTTTCTGAGAAAAAAATACATGCATCAAGGCAAAGCAAAAGTCACTTTTCTCCTTATTTTCTCATGTTTTTCTCAGGTTCACTACATAGCAAGAAAAAAAAAGAAGGAAAAAAGGAAAGTGTTACACTGGCTGCACTTACTGGAAAATTTTTCACAGGCAGACTAGCTATAGTCTAAAAAATACAAGATACTGAAACAACCTATTTTAAATTATTCTTTACTTGTATGTGAGGTGCTGCCTGCTAAGAAACTGCTTGGGACAAAAAGTACTGTGGCAGTGTTACATAAATGTCAGCTTTTAATGCAAACACCAGCAGGAAATATCCCTGAGGGATGGGGAATATTCTATGCAGTTGCAATCTTTGGATGACTGTCCCCAAGCTCATCCAACATGGAAAATAATCTCTTGAAAGGCAGAAGATATATATGGGAAAAAGAATTGTAAAAACTTACTTAAGAGATGCCTCAGTCTTGTGCAGGTGTAAATTCCAGTAATGATTCACTGACGTATGTCTATTCATTAACATGTTGCTGATTTTATCTTCCCAAAATACAAATGAAGTATTCATTCATAAGAACCTGTAAAATGACTGCAGATCTGTAAACTTCAAAGAAAAAAAAAATGGCCCAACAAAAAATGTGCTTGTTATTATTTTAAATGCATGTAATGCACACAGCATGCCTGTGAAAGATAACAAGGGGAAATTWCTGCACTGTAAGTTAATAAAATTAACTTTCAGAATTTTCTCTTATAGATGTTTGTAGAAAAAGGAGAAATTGCTATCAGGAGGACAAATAACATGTATTCACTGCTGTTTTTAGGTTTTGGAATTATTTCTTTTTTCACTTTTTTTCTTCAGGTAAGTTTTTGTTACTGTAATTATTTATCTTTGAAATGTTTTGTGTCAGCTATGTTAACTTCTCGGTACCCTAGTCAAGCAATACAGAAGGAAAAAAGATGGTTGATAAATTTTCACTGCTAGGTGGGTTCAAAGTGTAGTAAGAGGTTTCAGGCATGCACTGTGGTCTTAGCTCCCGAGCAAAGAGAAGCCTGGCTTCAAGCCTACCTTAGATCACAGGCTATGGAGGAAAAGTAAAAAAAAAAAAAAAGCAGGCTCAGGAATAACATAATAATAATGATAATGCTATAGTAACCTTGATAACACAGGTTTTGCTCAGGTTTTAATGGCTCTTCTATCTTAAATAAATTGTTGCTTCCCTACATACCCTGAGAATTCCATGTGATAATGTTCCATGTATATTGTTCCATGTATATTGTGGGGAAACTGTCTTGTTCACACAAAAATCAATTCATTTTATATGTGAATTGGTGTGTAGCTTGTCCACATGTGCAAACGCATTTAGTCATTGCTCAGCTACCTGTATCAGCCTTCAGTGCCACCTTCTACCTTCTGCCCTGATGCCATTAACACAATGTGGTGCCTTTTCCAAAATGCCCTGCAGCCCTTGCTCCCTTTTTAGGCAGAACCAACTTCACAGTTTTTACGGTGCTTTTAAAAAAGAAACATTTTGATAGTAARGCTGTGCCTGCCTGAAATACTCCTGTACATCTTTCTTCCCTGTCCCGTTCTTGTGTAGTCTTATTTTGCATGGCCCTGGCCCGAGGGTGAGGAGACACCAGCAAATTCCCCCGCACACATAAAGCTGTGTTATAGTCACTGAGGCTTCCCCTAGCAGGTAACTACTAGCACCAAAGGTTTTTGGCTGGAAGCTCCCAGAGAGAGAAATCTGTGGTAGTTGTGCAGTGCCTGAAGCAAATACAGGGCCCAACCTGTGAACTGTGAAGTGACAACCAGGAGTTTGAGACCAGGGGTAATAAAAAAATCCTTCAAATAAATGCATATTTGGTGAGTCTTAAAGTCTGTTGGTGAAATGTGATATGTTCTTGTTCCTTAAAAAGCAGTGCCTCAGTTACAGCTAAAATGTTTTTGCTCTGTGTAAATTCAGTTTGCTTAGTTTACTCATGTGTTTAATATATGCATGTACTGACATAACTGGTAATCAGATAAAGACAAAACCTGTGATAAAGCAATTAAGTTTTGTGTGTTTTTCTTTTTCCCTCAAACAGGGTTTCACATTTGATAAAGCTGGMGAAATCCTTACAACGAGGCTTCGCTCCATGGCATTTAGAGCAATTCTTAGACAGGTAAAGGTGTTATACATATTTAGCTTTCTAAAGCCTTAGAAACGCTTGCTTTTATAAGTTATGGTACCAGCACTTGCACTTCTTAAGTTAGCACTTCTAGGCCTAACTCAGCTTCTTTTAACTCTCTTTTGCTGCCACTACCACCCTTACCAGTTTCTTTTACTAATGAGTATTTTCTTTAGCTTACCAAGTGCTTTAAGGAGGTGTTAGTATTCAGTATCTCTTTATTATTCTGCTGCATAAATCCAAACCTTCCTTGGATTTATATTAAATTTTACTCCCAAGTAAAATATGTTCAAGTACCAGACACAAGGCCTATAGGACCTGGGAGTGTTTTGCCTACTAGCACCAATGTGGGTGGTGAATGCTCCATCCAGTGGTAAGGCTAAAGCAGCCTTCTGGCTTTATGGAGCCTACCACTGAATCAAARCTTTTTGTACATTTTTTTTAATGTATTACATGAATACCACCCCCCCTCCAAAAAAAAAAAAATCCAAGGAATTAGTTAAGATAGACTAAACTTACAAGTAAAAGTATCTTCTAAAATTACATTTAATATATTTAATAATGTGATGGTGTTTGTGTTAATTGAAAAAAGGACATATGGATGTTTAATACAATTTAATTTGAATTTTGTGTTCTCCTATCTTTATTGCATCTATAACTCTATTGAATTTATGGTTACTTCCTAAGAAGTAAATCATTATTTCATAATTTACTTGTAACCCAAAGTGATTATGCAAACTACAGTTTTTAAGATCATCATAACTATATTTCATGTTGTAGGAAATCAGCTGGTTTGATGATCCTAAAAATAGCACTGGAGCATTAGTTACAAGACTTGCTAATGATGCCTCACAAGTGAAAGGAGTAAGTAATATGCACTGGCATTTTACATACATGTTTTAGGATAGGATGTAGTTACAGACTGGATTTGATGGATGTCTGTCTGTCTCTCTGCACGTGCTGTCCTCTGGCAACTATTGTTATGTATTAAAAAGTGCTGTATGTGCTTGATACCACAAAAAGTTTAGTAATTATAATAGTRGATAAAACATACATGCTGTAGTAAATCTTTTAGTTTATGCCACCTTACAAGTGTTCGGTACTGTAATTTTTATAAAAGAGTTGTCCAGTGAACCTGTGTTTGTAAAGTATTTCTCCAGCCTGCTTAGATGTCTAGATAGCCTTGTGTTTCTGTGCTAAATATTCCAGCTCAACAAAATACTTAAACATATGCCTCAAAATGAGGATTACTCTCATTGCATCACTGTGTCCGTTCGTGTGCTAATTGTGAAGTGGTCAAAGAGAAAACTGGTAGTCTCAGACTCCAAGTTTGGCAAGTTCATATTTCAAGAGATCTGGTACATTTGAAAACACAATTCTGAATATAAAAAKGTGAGATTTCTAAAACCTCATAGTTTTGGGAGCAAAACCTGGGAACAAGTGCTGTATGTCTGAGTGAACAGATGCAAGCAGCAGGGCAGATACAGAAGACTAGAGGGRATCATCTGTACAGTAGAACATTTTTTCAAAAGATAGACTTAAGCTTTCAATTCTGCACAGTATATTTACTAAAATGAGAATTTTCATATGTCCTCTGGGGAATAAATTCTACTTGTCTGGGTGACAAGTAATTTCTGTCTAGTTTTCACGTTTCCACTCTACTTAAAATTTACATTTACATTTTTTTTTCCAGGCTACAGGTTCAAGACTGGCCTTAATTGCCCAAAATGTAGCTAACCTTGGGACTGGAATAGTTTTGTCTTTGATCTATGGCTGGCAGCTGACTCTCCTGCTTTTAGCTGTTGGGCCAATTATTGCTGTAACCGGAATGATTCAAATGAAGATGCTTGCTGGACATGCAAAGAAAGATAAGAGAGAACTGGAAATTGCTGGAAAGGTGAGCTCAGTGACATTTTATCTATTTTGATTCCTTGCTACTTCTTGCAGCTTAATAGGGACACTGGCAGTGGGTCAAGAATATATCGCTTGTAAAAGATATTGAACTCTTCATTGTTATATTGTTCTGATCAAATGKTGATATATATGAAGCTGGAAATTGCAAGCATGTATTATTAATTTGAGCACTAGCATCCAGAGTGTACTAAGAATCTTTAAAAGCCATGAGTGCTGGTGCCAGTTCCAAGCCTGTGTGTTCCCTCTCCTTCCCCAACACTTTGCCTTTTATCCTTTCCTTTATTTTTGACTAAGCCTGCTTCCTTTCAAGAGCTCCCTCTTCTACCTGCCTTCTTGTTATCTCCTCTCCCTATTGTCTCAGTAGATCTAAACTAACAGGATATAAATGAAGAGTGACAGGGATGCCTGGAAATCCCAACAGACAGAATAGGTGGCCGTGCAGTACAGCTGCAATCCCCTGTGCTTATTTCCATTCCATCCTCTCCGATGGGAAGTGAAGCAAGAGTCTGGGAACCTGTTTCAAAGGACACTGAGTGTGGGGGCAGACAGCCGGTGATTGCTTCATTCCATAGCCCGAGGATGGCTGTTCACTCACCACACGAGGCCGCTGCCTCAGAGCAGACTGTGCTTTATGAGGCCTCTCTTTTGACACACGTCAATCAACACTCATGCAGGGAAGATGTATTTATCTAAGGAGTCCAGGCACCGCAAATCTCAGTCATCCTTTTTTTTCCCATGGTCTGTATCAGGAAAGTTTCTCATGGGCCTTTATGCCTTCCTATGCTTTAGAAAATATTCATGTGTCTTCTCACATCTTTTTTGCCTTTTTCACTCTAAAAAATAAAAAAAAGAGAAATTATTTTTTGTCTGCTCATTACATTTTAGTATAAATTTATATATGACATTGTAATCCCAGTGTACTGTAATGATTCACTGTAAGGTGAAACCATATGGGAGCTCTAGAATATTGTCCCTTGATACATGCAAATGAGCCGTGAAAAAGTGAAAATGTGGCAAACAGTCGAGGGAATGCAGGGAAATTAACTCATCTTTTATTTATAGCAAATTCTATAACAACTTTGCACCAATGCTTTCAAGGAGATTTAAATGTAAGAAACCAGGTCTCACAACACTCCTTTGGAATAAGTATGCAGTATTGGCATTGCATATGTTWATTAATTAGCAATATATTATATTCCCTAATTTGTCTCTTGTTCACAGTGTGATTATATGGATAGCTAATAAAGCAGCAGAAATTTTTAGGAGTGGCTGGTCGTTTTAATTTTCTCCATGAGGAGACTAGTCCATGAGTTAGAAAGACTTTGGATTTTCAGGAAATGCTGAAGATCCGTAATGGCAAAGATGAGTCCTTTAAGGGTAAGCTCAAAATCACTAGTTGCTTTTGAAAATGCGARCACGTTTTGGAATGTGGTCATGACCACCTTGCAAATTATAGAGGCTTATTCATCCCGCCTGACTGGGTGCCAGGAGCAAAGCAAACTGGATGACATAATATTTACAACAGGTTGAACAAGTCCCCTGGAAAAACCATTGCTAGCCTCTGCTAAAATGAATGCTGTCTCAAATGTACTCCTATAATCCATTCTAATTGGATTATATTTAACTGTAGCATATCTGCACATGTTGCAACTGCGCTTTCAACAGTGTTGTCAACATATCCTATCACTTCTGTCACAATTATTCTAAGCTCTGTTTATCAGGTTGTGTTTAAAAGTTTCCGCAGATCTTGCTTTTCTATTAATGAACATCGTCTTTTTGATACAGATTGCCTCTGAAGCCATAGAAAATATTCGAACRGTTGTTACTTTGACTCAAGAAAGAAAATTTGAGTTTATGTATGGACAAAATTTGCAGGCACCGTACAGGTAATAAAATGTATCTCAAAATGAAAAAAAGCTATTTAGATCTTTTTAAAGGAATATAAATTTACACCAACAGACTGAAAGAAAAATTATCTTCTGTCAGTGTAGCAAAAAAACTCTTATTTCAATCTCAGTTTTAACATAGAAGTGTAAAATAACCCTTTAAGCAAACAGCTAATACTTTTTGATTAAATTACTTTTCTTTTTTCAATGCTTCCATAGTGTTCATATTACTTGTTGCAATTCTGGCAGTGGGAGCCTTTGTTAATTCTTATAACCAAGAGCCTTTTTTCCTTCTGAGGAAATATACTGTTTAACAAACCATAAGCCATTTTTTTATATACACATTTTGTATATGTATATGCCATAAATGGCATTTTCCCAGGCAAGGCACCAAAGTGCAGGCCCACAATTCAGTATTTTTTCACTCTGCTGTTGTATCAGAGCAATATTGCAGATGACATATGACTAATTGAAAGAGTTGCTTTGGCTCAGTGTAAAATGAAGAACAAAGATTTCTTCTGTTGAAGAAATTTCTGCTCTGCAGATATTCTGAAGTTTTTAATGATTCTTCTTGTGTACCAGTTGGTTGAAACTTGATGCTTGCAACTGCAATATAAACTTTAAAATTATTTCAGTGAATGTATGAAGGCTATATATTAAACATTCCTAAKGAATTTAGAATTAGAGCAATGTCTTCATCTCATCAGCTTCCCAATTGTCCTATCAGCTTCTGCAGACAGAAAGAAAAACAAAGTATACAGGAATGATAACATCTAAAACATTCTAAAATACTGAGGAGTTATAAATTCATTTGAAATAATAGGGTATTCTTCACATCCTTGACTGCTACAGCTGAAAAATACAGTGGGATTGTGCTCATATTTCTTTCTATGTTACAGAAATTCTGTAAAGAAGGCACATGTCTTTGGATTTACTTTCGCCTTTACGCAAGCTATAATGTACTTTACTTACGCTGGGTGTTTTCGGTTTGGTGCCTACCTCGTGAGGAATGGGCATATGCAGTTTAAAGATGTGCTTTTGTAAGTACCCCTTGTGAGTTTGCTTTCGGCCGTGTGGGAGAATTCTCTTGATTTTGCTATAAGTAGCATGGAATCACATAGTAGAGAACTATGAAAGTGACTGAATGCTTTACTTCTTTCTGCCATTCTTCACCCTTCCATTCTTCTTCCTTCCAAAAGAATCCAAAAGAAGTGATACTCTGTTTAGCTACATACATACAAGCAGGATATGAAGGAAAACAAAACGAAGACAGTCAAAGCAATATTGTTCATTGTTTTCATTGCCAATCAAATTTCTTCAACAGAATCACGCGGCTTAGCTGTGGGGAGCGTAGGTGGACAAGATTAAAAAGAAGTGGAGCAAGTAATGAGTGAAACTGAAGTGAAGAAATTATGAGCCCTGCGGTGAGAGAGGTGGAGAGCAGGAGAAAGTTGCAGCAAGCTCCCAATCTGGAAAATACGCACACAGAGCTGGAAAAACCTCTCTAAATGTTTACAGTGAATTGCTGCCATTGTTCCCATCAGTTGGCACCTTTTCAACATTTACTTTCTTCCCTTCCTATCATCTCCAGCATCTGAGTCCTTTGCTTGTCTCGTTGCAGCTGAAATCCCTGTCCACACATTTGCSAATAGTTTCCGTGTCTCCCTTGTCTCCATGTCTCCCACATCCCGTTCTTGGTTTCAGGACTTGCCACACTTATGCCTGGCAAAAATGCTGCTGAAGCTGTGGCTTCTTCTTACCCTGATTGCTCCAGCCTCTCCTGGAATTTCCGCATTGACCCTCTTTCCCTTGAGCATTCAGGTGGATCCCTTCTCCTTCCTCCTGTGTTTTCTCTCTTCTCCCTGGGGACTTCATCCCTGCTCCCTTTGACCTCCCTTTCTCATCTCCAACTTTGCCTTTGGTTCCTGAACTCAAAGATTTCGTTGCTGGTGACGCCAGTGGGGTACCTGGAAGCCTGGGCCGTTCAAAAGCAAATCGTGAATTGTGAGTTTTTCCGTAGGCCTCAGACAGCTCCACTGGTAATGACATCGGTTTTATAGATGAAGAAAGTAAGTTGCCAGGAGCTACATCTCTTAGCACTTCTCATACGGTAAAGGTAGAAATAGGGATGAACACATCCTTTTCCAATAAACCAAGCTAAGTGGGCAAGGAACAGAGGCTTGGAGTGTCTCTCCACCTCTCTCACCCTAAAATTTTACATATGTTCACTCAGTGTGGAAAAAAGACTGTGGTCTTTGCAGTAGGCACTTTCTATCCCATTTCAGCCTTTAATCATTAAAGTTATTTATCCTGAACCCCAGCACTGCCTATAAAAGCTGTCAGTGCCAGCACTTGCTCCTCAGTATATTTTTCTCCTTTGTATTTTCAGAGTTTTTTCCGCTATCGTGTTCGGGGCAATGGCGCTGGGCCAGAGCACCTCTTTCACTCCAGACTACGCCAAGGCCAGGATGTCGGCGGCCCACTTGTTCAGGCTCTTTGAAAGAACACCCTCCATAGACAGCTACAGCGAGCAAGGAGAAAARCCTGTAAGTGAGCTGGTGTTACCTATAGCATCACACACTTTCCTAATTTACTTGATTTTTTTCAAGGTTGTGTCTTTTTTTTTTTCGCTCCCACTCGCCTCATAGTTACCCAAAGCAGCACCGTGTGAGCCTATTCACATCTGAGTCACCAAACCAAAGTGGGGTCAACTATTGCTCCATGTCTCCTCCTGTCACCCACTAGGTCCCGCCTGCCTCTTAGCAAACATCTTGAAGAGCGAGATAAAATAGGATTAGTGCAGCAGGAGGAGTTCTGTACTGCTTTCGTGCTTGAGGATACCTGAGCATGCATCACTAGCATGTGTCAAGGCCTCTGGTATTTAACCTGGAATTTTTGAGGGTTAGCTTGTGCGTGAATTGTCAATAATAAATTGTCATGTGCATAAGCAGTGAGCAATATATATAGGCATATTAGGACATATGACCTTTGATACACCAAAGAAGATAGAACTTTGTTCCAGATAACCATCACATTACATGTAACTTAAACGTTTGCTTGTATATAGRAMAGGAAATTAACTATGAAATCTTACACTGTCATAAATTTGACATATTATKTTGACTGTTGATCTGCATGTATTTATATTTTTGTTTTATATACTCATTCATCTGAAGAATATATCATGTTATGTAGGTGTATCCATATCACATATATCTATTTTCTAGTAAATTAATTAGAAAAAAAATAAGTAAATGGATTGATTTTGCATGCAGATCAAAAATAGAAGATTATTTTCCATAACCCCAAAGAGGAAAATGAAAGAAATAGCAATGAACATGTAAAGAATCAGAATCAGATCCTGATGAGGCAAACAGAAATCAGACATTCAGAAGTACTTTTACTTTTGAAAATGTAATTTTATTTAACAGACGGTGTAAAATAAAGCTGTCAGAATTTGTCTGCAGAATAGAATTCTAATTAAAATATGTTTGCAGAATGGAATATTCAGGATAGGATTTGTGTTTTTACGATAGCTTTTCACTGCATATTGATTCCTGAAATTAAAGAAAAAAAACAGAATCAGATCCTTTGGTAAAATCCCACTGATCTCTTTTATAAATGCCATATGCTATATGTTATCCTAAGAAAAATTAACCCAACTCTACCATTTCAATCAGAAAATATTTGGTGGCAACATAACCTTCAAAGATGTGGCATTTAACTACCCAACCCGACCGGAGGTCAAAGTGCTCCAAGGTTTGGATATTAAAGTAGAAAAAGGACAAACTCTGGCCCTTGTTGGTAGCAGTGGCTGTGGAAAGAGCACGGTTATTCAACTGCTTGAGAGGTTTTATGATCCTCTCAGTGGAGAAATGGTAAGTTGTTCCACATAAAAGTTTTGCCTACAGCTACGTGATACATGTGCCTTCTACTTTATTAGTAAATGTTTTTTTTCTTCTTCTTCTAAGTAATCTTATTAAGTCTTTGTTAACATAAGTACTGGCTTTTTGTCAGTGTTTGTGAGAATCAAGGGTAGGAACACATGGATTTCCAATATTCCCTGTGCAGTCATGGTGAAAGCAGAAGGAAAGTAACATTTAGAAGTTTCTCATGCCATTTTAGGTTACTAGAATAAGATTGATGGACAGAAGTTGCTTCATCAGCTTGTCCAGATCCCGCTGATATCACTGAAGTTTTCTTGGGTCACAGTAAGACGTAATTGTTGGAAATCTGGAAATCCGTATTTATGTATACTACATAGATAAATACAGTTGATGTTTTGTAGTAGAAATGCTTAAAACTATTTATTGAAGAGTACTCTCTTTATACTTTCAATGCAGAACAGRATCTTTATAAAATATACCCAAAAGATATGAATGCACATGCTTACAATAATTTAGTCATATTACATGTGTAAAGTATATATACAGGCTCTCTCACCCCATTTCTGTTCATTTTTATGATATCAGTGTTGTTTAGCAACAAGGTCTGGAACTTTAAGCCTGAAATTTAGACTCTTTACTCTGAAAAATGAATCACATATTATTTCTTATGAAATACAGTGAAGTTCATCCCAAAGCCTGTGTGCACAGAGGGCATTGGGAGAACCAGGCTCGCAGTGGTAGCTTGGTGTCCTATGGGTGGAACCATCCCACCCATCCCTTATTCCTGATTGCGGAGTGAGACCACAAAAGAGCAACTCCTCATCCCCTGCATCYGGAGAGAGATGTTAGCTARTTTGCACATGCAGATATTAAGATCAGTTTTAAGTATTTATGTTTCTATTGTTGATATATCTATATAATAACTATATTCACACTATTGATAGCACATGAATGCTGTAATACATTATGAGCTTTTTTAGTTCATGAAGTGAAGGCTGCAAAGCTACTCACATGCAATACTCTTCTGGTCCTGGATGTGAGACMGAAATGTTGATGTGGATACTTTTGCATAGAGGAAGGAGAGAAAGATTGTATGAACTCTGCTTTCAAGCCCTGGATTAAGTTTCATAACTACTGGAGAGTCAGTAAAGCACTTTTGTTTTTGTTTTTTCCTGTACCATCAATTGCTCCATCAACAGCAATAGTTAGGGTAGATGCTGAACTTTATTGCAGTGACTTCTTACCTGTGAAAACCGAGTAAAGGGAAGGAAAAGCAAACTGAAAAGGCTGTTCTTGGATCTTGAAGAGCTGGAGATTGTGAATAGATGGCTCTGCATCCCTAGGAAAATCCTGTGCTTGACAGATGAGATGATGTTGTATTTCACCTGTTTATACACTTACCTCTGCGTGCGTGGTCCCAASAAGATTTAGCTCAACCTAAGCTGTCACTGATCTTTCACAGACTTCTGAAAACAGAAAAATCACATCTCAGGGGCCATTTTTGCATCCCTGGGAAGACTAAGAAACTGCTTATTTAGGAATCGTATTTGCATAACCAGTCTTGCTGGTACCACCAGAAGACTGCACTGTCCTCACTAGCATGAAAGTTTCCCTTCCTCTAAAAGACAAGAAAAAAAGTGACCATCAGAATCAGCCTACCCAGATCCAGATCACAGTCTACCACCACAGTCCCAACTTCCTGTGAAATGAAAAACTGCCATCTGTAGCTCAGACTGGATCACAACCKTAATACAAGAGGCCTCTGTCTTTGACTTAGGAAGATGCTCGAGTGAGTTTTTAACTTCTTTTCCCTGGAGTTTGGGTTCAATTCCAGATGCTGTGGATGAGGGAGTGGTCATGGACTTTGAAATATGTTTTTCTAAGATGTAGAAAACATCCTTATTTTCAGTGCTTGATATTTTAACTGTTACATCTTAGAATAAAACAGCTCCATCTCATTAAACCACGCTGAGAACAGCTGTCAAGCTGGGTTATTGCATATAAAAAGGGTGTCTACTTTCATGTTCACCCAAACACAAATTTTCTTTTGAAGAAAGCAATGATAAGCTATCGCTATTTGTTGATCATTAGACTAAGGAATCCACATCCTGAATTAGAGGTCTCTGCAAGTCCAGGCATTGTACAAAGAGAGTAAAAGGACTCACCCCAGAGAGCTCAACGTGCCCATGTACAATTCGCCTACAGTAACAAGATGCTCATTTAGTCCAGTTTAATGATTCAGTTTTAGAGAAGATTCATAAGGAAACAGCAGTACTATGGATCAGTATTTTATTTTGGACAAAATAAAGCAACTCTATACCAGATACAGTTAAACTTATAAATGCTGGATGCTAATGTGCAGGTAAGCTGCAGGGAGAGGGATTCACATGCAGAAGATGAAGACAATTATAACAGAAGATGAAGACAATTTTGGAACTGGATCTAGAAGAAGATACAAATAAAAAGTCAAATGACAACACTTTTAAAAAACCAATTCATTTGTATTCAAGGAGGAAAATGTGATATTGGTTCTAAGATTTGAGTGCTAAGATCATGGAAGACCTTAAAGCAGTTTTAGCAGAATGAAGAAGAAAATGGCTAGGGTAGAGTAGAAGAGGAGACCTCTAAACAACAACCATGAAATTTTTGATACACTTACAGTGAAAATCATCCAGCAAACAGATCTTAATAGAATATTCTCTGAAATACATCTTTGTATGACCAGCACCAACTAAGATACAGACAGCAGGATAGAAGAGAAAATAAACCTGTACCTCTGATTTATTGCAAGAAGTGAGGGGAGAAGTGCAAGATAGTGGCTACATAGATCTKGAGTTGTTCAAGGTTTATGGAGACTTCTGGTGTTGTATTTATCACAGATGTACGTAGGCTTTAACCATCATCGTCTCCACATCTCTTCACTTCTACTACTGTACATTAAGTGCATAAGCCAACGGACTCAGGGAATGAAATACCTACTACAGGCCCTATTGTGGCTAGATTCAAAAAGATGTTATAAAGTATTATGACTAAATATATTCTTTTTGACTTTTTAGCTCCTAGATGGTCAGAATGCAAAGACAYTAAACATCCAGTGGCTGAGATCGCAGATTGGTATCGTCTCTCAAGAACCGGTCCTGTTTGACTGCTCTATTGCTGAAAATATTGCGTATGGCGATAACAGCCGGGAGGTGCCGCATGAGGAAATTGTCAGTGCAGCCAAAGAAGCCAATATTCATTCCTTCATTGAATCACTACCAAAGGTAATTAGGCTCTCACTGACAGCTTGAAGCTGTAAAAAGGAAAAAAGATCAACAATAACATAGTGCCTGTTCATGGTTTTCTAAATAGACAGGTAGTAAAAGTGTTTCATTTTTTTCCCTCAACTTACTGAACTGGTTGGGTTTTTTAATTACTTTTTTCCTAGAAGACAAGGCAAATGGAAAACTAGGAGGGCGTAGTGACTGTAGGTGCTTACTCATTTCCATGGCTGCACATACCTGAGTGAGATGGGGTCTCTCTGTAGAGCCAGTATCTRCAAAAAATAGCCCAGCTGGTGCTCAGAGAAGGCATTTGAGATGCATTGCATGGAAGAGCAACAGACATGCAGAAAGTCCTTAAAAGAAGCAAGTCATTTCTTTCAGTTAGGGGAAAATGTGATGATGGCCTTCGCATGTGTTGACCGAGCTCTTGGCTCTGTCCTCACTCCCCTTTTCTCTACTCCGTTATCACACACACACATAATGTCACACAGGCCGTGCTGGCTTGCAGGAACAGGCAGAAATACACGTGCTTGTTACGCCTTCCTTCTCTCACTGGCCCTATTAGACTTGWGAAGTGAATCACCAACACAGGGGTTGTTTTTGCCATAAAATAAATAGCACCTGTGAATGAAAAACAGCTTCATGCTTTGAACAATTGAGAAAAATTAGGATAGGAGAGAGAAGAAAAGAAAAGGTTATCAGCCCTATGCTGTTCCTGTAGAGTTCACAAGGCCAAGATGTGAAGACAGGCATGAGATCTTCCTAACTGCTTTGAACTGACTGGCTGAAGCTATCACCCACTTGCCAGCTTACTGTGGTAATGGGCTAAAATAAATATTTTTGAGACTTGATAAATTCCCATAGCTCTGGGAGACTGTAGGTCAGGTACCTACAGTCTGTCAGGTAGTTTTTAACCTGCAAAGTCTCCTGTCTTAGACGGAAGAGGTACATTTGGTTACATAGCAGCTAATAAGGAAGTGTAATAAGGAACATGGAGAGCGTTTCTGAAGCACATTTTATGATAGCTTTAAATGTGTTCCAAGACAGATGTGATTTTGAATGTGACTGTTTAGGAAGTCATCATAAATCACTCATGGTGCTTCTCACGGGGGTGCGTGTCCTTCTCACAGTGACTTGGGGAGGGAAAAGCCAAAGCCTGGACCYGGGCTGCTGCTAGTAAAGCCAGGCCTGCTTGGGTTCGTTCCCAGCGGTGTCGCAGGCTTCCCAGCTCACCCTGCCCCTGCCTGATGGCTTCTCCATGCCCTAGCCTCTCAGCTGACAACAACTATCACCTCTGTTTCCCAGCGTGGCGGGGGGTGCCCTGCACATCAGTACACTGACAGTTTTGATTTTCAGCTCAGATACTACCCCAGCTGCACGTACCATCAGTACCAAGGGGGTCCTTCTGGAAGGCAGTACCAGAGAGCATCCTTCCGTTGGAAGTGAAGCTGCAATGTCCTATTCAACGTGATAAGGTCCAAATCCAGGTTTTTACTTACTTTCTACATACCTATTTACTTCTACACCTTTCTGTATGCAGAAATATAACACTTGTGTGGGAGACAAGGGAATGCAGCTCTCTGGTGGTCAGAAGCAGCGTATTGCCATTGCCCGCGCTCTGGTTCGGCAGCCCCGAATTCTCCTCTTGGATGAAGCTACCTCTGCACTGGATACAGAAAGTGAGAAGGTATCTGGGCTTTGCAGCTGGCAGCTGGGATTTACAGCTTGGCTGCTCATGCTCTCACTCGTGTGAAAAACCGTATTAATAAAAAACAAGCTCCCATCCCAAATACAATCCACTATTATCTGCTTCCTATGTAATTTTATTGCAGTCTGGCATTTTAAAGACTCATTTATTAGGGGTCTTCAAATCCCAGAAGTTCAAATGACTTTAAAGAATTTCTAACCTTCAGAATTTAACGAACAAAACTGCAACAYGTGAGGTTGCTCCAGCACAACACTCCGTGCTCAAAACTAGAAGACAAAATTATCCAGCATATTGTTTGATTTTATCATGATTTGACAGTGGTGTGATTTGGGGGATTAAATCTTAATTATTTAATGAGTAGAATCGGAATTTGGAGCACAGTTGTTAGGGCCTTTTCCACACTGCCGAAAGTGAGCCAGAACAGCTTGTGAAAGGAGCCAGCCTAATTCGTTCAGAACAGCTTCTACCAGTGACTAAGTGCTGCTGTAGGAGTAAGCAGAGCTCAGGCTGTGATAAAGTCTGTTTGGCTTCAATGCAGCCACCCAGAACTGCATTCTGCCCACCCCAAAGCTCTGGAGCAGGGAACCAAGCTGTCATCAGCGATGACAGGTTTTCACCGTAGGCTAAACTTAAGATCTGGATACTCAGAAGTTTTTCAGTTAGTACTGCTGAGGCCCCAGAAAGCTCATTGCTATATTACAGGTCACATGGGAGATGACAGATTCTGGGCAGCCCTTTTGTTCTGTAATTCACCCTTTGTTCGCTGGACAGGTTGTGCAGGAGGCCCTGGACAGAGCCCGCGAAGGCCGCACCTGCATCGTGATCGCTCACCGCCTCTCCACCATCCAGAACGCCGACAAGATCGCCGTGGTCCAGAACGGCAAGGTTGTAGAGCAAGGGACTCAYCAACAACTCTTAGCCGAGAAAGGCATCTACCATTTTCTGGTCAATGTTCAATCAGGGACATACAATGTCTGATTAACAGGCAGTACCTGTTGCTGAAATGCATCTGTATACTTGGTTCGGTATTTTGAATGAGRCACTATTAAGGATGTTTCAGTACTTCTGGTTTTGGTAAAATTCTGTAAATAGTTTCCTTAAATCTTGTAACTAATAAAGGAAATGCACCTCAGTTATTTAAGAACCTYGCCCTCACTTTGAATGTTCTTCCACTGGCACAAATACTTGCTGTTGCTCAAGCATCCTGGCCTGTTACCCAGGGAAGCGCCAAGCTGYGAGGAAGGGAATAAAATGGGAGACTCTGTCCTTGTTACTGCAAAGAAATCTGCTACAGAGCTGCTCGAAGGCAGGGAGGCTGGTTCCATGCTAGCTGAGCAGGCAGGTGTTACTGCAAAGCAATACCTGAACTATCCCTAAACTCCTGTGTTTAAGAGAAAACAGTGGGTAGAAGCTSTGTTTCAGATGGGGCATTCATCCCCAAGATCAGCTCTTTCATGACATTTCATTGCTAGTATCAGTCTATCTATAAATCAATCAACCAAAACAAAAATGATTCTTGGAAGAGCTTTATTAAGAGTGGAAAATTACAAAGTTGCTCAAATGGGGAAATCAAAGACACTTAAAATCCTGAGAATCTTACCAAACTGCATTCAGTGCTTACTTTCATTGTGTATTATTAGTGTAAAGCAGCAGAGAGATTCACAGTTCACCTAGAAGATGTAAACTCTGTAAAACTTGCGATTAATATCTTGCTTTCTRTTTTTATTTTGAAAAAGGCATTCTCTCAATGATATTTCAGACTGTAGTGCTCTTATGCAACAAGTGTGGTGGAATCATCCCCATTCAAGGACAGAACATCTGTGTGATACAATCCCAATAGCAAAAGAAAAAGACAACAGATTGATCCAGAACACCCAGCCTGATGAAGACAGCCCTTCTATTTCACATATCACTGTGAGTAGGAAGCTCAATCACCTATGACAACAGCGTGGTTACTCTGCAGTACAGTTAGGTGCTCCACCAAAGTAAACAGTATCATTAGGTCACAATTCTAATTCTACATGTTACTACTATGATCATAAATACAAAATCCCATAAATTCTCCATTTCCAATGCCATTTCTCTCAAATACATTTGCATTGTTGAGGCATATTTTAATATTGCATAGTTCTACCCAGATAAGGTACTACTGCTTGCATTGTTGGTGCAAATGGCTACATCACTATTGAATGGGCACTGCTGCCAGCAAATCCCATAAAAATAGGTAGACTTCATAAAATCATTACATGTCTTAACTTGGATATAACAGTTTTCTTGCCTAGCATTCATTTCAAAGTACTACATATAACTTGGGAGCTTGCAAAGGCTCGTTTATATCAGTATGAACTTCACAGCTGAGCTGTAGCTGTTAACTGCAACATGTCCTGGAAGCTCTGGAACACGGTTCTGCACAGCACCTCCGCATCAGTCTCCGGACAGGACTTCCAGGAAGAGCAGGTGGCCACAATCCTGTMAGTACAGACAACAAGGAAGTTATTGCTCTTGAAATGGTTGTCAGGAACAAGACATCAGCCTCTCCATAGTCAAAGGACCCTCAGCACCTTCAGTAAGCCATAATGCTGACACATCCTGAAACTTGTACCTTCTTTGACTTATATACCTACTTCTATACATATTTAATTACATAACTTTTCTGCTTCAAAAATACTAGGAATTACATTTCTTCACTGCAACCAGTAAAGGTTTGAAGTACTTTTTTTTCTATTTACCTAATGAAGGTAAATCTTCTTCTAGATCTATTTTATCACTACAGAGCGATAGGTCAAAGCAGGATTTGCACTCTCAATGCAATCTGCACAAAATGCGTATTTAGTTTTTGAAACAAGTCATACAAATTACACCTAAATCACTACAGAGCGAGTTATCTCAATATATCATAATGAGCTTATTATGTTTGATGAACAACTAAGAATTTTGGCCTGTARGACTAAAAAGCTAAAATTACTTGTTTTCAAATTCTACCATTTCATAAAAAAAGGTGAATCCAGATGTTTCAGCTTCTCCTTACTCAAACAGGTCTACTTGGAGTCAAGGGATTTGTGCTTCACTGACAAGGGATGGACAGGGCACTCCCCTATACTCCCCTGCCATCTGGTCTATCTCTGTCAACTACTACCTTTTAAAAATATGGTCTCTAARAATAAAGCTTGTTTTAAAATAAGCTTATTTTTTCCTCCTTCCACGTTCACCTTCCCTGCTCTTTGTCAGTGCCTCAGTACTCATCTCACCTCCTGTTTGTCCTTCCTCCTTCCCACACTTTCCCAGAACACCTCGATCCTCATTTCTCATCTCACTTTGCAACCTTCTTCTGAAGCTTCAAGCTTGTTTTTATTCTGTCTTTTCCTTCCCTCATTAAGCCATCCTTCTCCTTGAGAGGCTGAAAGAGCCATGCCCATAATGAAATTGTGTTTTTACCTGTCATTTCTGATTGAATAAAAAAAGCCATAGCCATGATGTACCATAGGAAGTGCAGATCCATTAAACCCAGTGTAGCCAGTGAGACTGGTTGAAAGAACGAAATTCCCACCTCCTCCACTGCAAAATAACACAGAGAAAAAGCACTGTTTTTAAGAGTATCTTAGAGTGATCTTTACCCCCAAAAAGGTTRTTTTGTTGTAGAGGTTACAGAATCAGCACAATCAAGGGCAATGTGACAAAGCCCTCAGTATCAGGAAATTTCTCACAGGACAAGACTACCAATTACCTAGTTGTGAAGGCAGTATCCACAAAAAGTTCTGGCACTGGAAGTCCTTGTTCCTGTGCTATAAGGAGGAGGCCTAGAAGATGACGGTCGAATCCTGCAAAGAAATGCAAATGATGCATCATTAAGAGCAGCATTTCCTGATGTTCTGCTTTTCCTGATCTGGATAGCAGACTCACACAGCAGCTCAACGAAAGATAGATGTGTGGGCTGTGGGGAGATGAAAAAAAGAAAAAAAAAAAGATAAGATTCAGGCTGTAGAACATACAGACACTTCCCAACTGTTTGGCCTAAGGCTTCAGTTTGCAACTCTTAGCTAAAATGCAAATGGACTGTAATGAAATCCAGCACAGTTGCTGTGCAAAACAAAATGCAAGAAATCTCCCATTTCAGTCAAAGAGGGACACAGTGAAACTGGCACTGTCAGCAATTACTGAGCAAGGATGAACAGGAGGCTTTCAAGGTCACTGTCACCTAAACACCTAACCAAAAAGGATGGGGAGAGTATGAAGGTTCCTCAGCTGATTTGTGGGATGTGGGATGGAATCCCATCCAATTCTCTCCTCCACCTCAGTATACTGGACTGGAAAGTGGGAAATGACATCTCCTATCTGGCCAGAAGGAATATTATTCTGGAATAATGTATAATAAGGCAGAAAAACTGAATATACTCAAAATGAGTATGTCTTTGGGGCACACAGAAGGATGCAAGGACTAGATTTTAGTTCCTCGCCTCCGAACTCCTTATATTTAAGCTGCTGAAGCGCTAGTTTTCACTCAGGTTAATGGCAATGAGACAAAGAATATATCTGCATACAGCAGTATACACCCACCAGGAAAGAAAAATGTGAAAATACCTTTTCCAATCTCACACTCTTTCCTCATTTTATTGTGCTTTGCAAACGCTCTAAGCATCAGCTGTTGCCGTTGATAAACCTGTGTAAAAAGAGTCAGGTAAAAATAGAAAGCAAGATCTAGGTGACTATCATATCAGGAAATACATCTGTAAGTTTTTTTCCCTTTTGCCAATTCTAGCAATTCCAGAAMGAAGAAAATGTAGGAATTTGAAAAAGTTGCATTATAACCTTTGATTCATCCATTTTCTTAAATTTCTCCAACTCTACCTCCCAAATTCTTTTTCAAGAGAAATTGCTCATTTGTTTCCTGTATCCACGTACATTTATTCAGGCCAATTTGCACAAAACAGTACCCTTAACATCCTGCTCTTTCCCAAASAAGTCAAAACCTGAAAGTGGCCACTCTAAACTACAGCAATCGAGCCCAACAACTTTCTGCAATACCACTTATGTAGAAACACAYGAGCTTTTAGCAGGTGCAGCTGCACAGAAGTGGTCATGACTTTTCATGCAGGAAAAAGAAAAAACTCTGAGGGTTTTGCACTTTTTCTTATGCTTTAATCTTATTTCTTTAAAGCACACAGACATGCCAGACGCATTCCCAACTTTTCTCTACTGATTGAAGCATTATTTCCATGMTGGTAGTTCTGGCCACTGTAATGTATTTTGTCAATATTAAGCTGAAATTTAAATATTAAAAATAGAAAAAATAAAAAAAAAACCACAGGCTTTAATAATGAGGACTTTGGGAAACATCTCAGCACAACTAAAACCTTCAACTTCTGAGATCTAAGTAGCTCTTTAACTTCTCAGGAAAAACCTTTTATTCATTATGTAAGAGACTGCAGCAATGTGAAGCTGTAAGCTGTAAGTGCCAGATCTGGATAAAAACCAAGATAATGGGCTCACAAGGGAAAAAAAGTAAAAGGGGAGACAAAAAGATTTTTTTTTCCCAAAGTAGCCARTGCCAGGCTTTTCAGCATCTTAATTTCAATACCACTGAACTGACAATGTTTTTCAAAACCCCACAAGAATTTACCACAGTAACATAGGAAGTATGTTTGTAAGTATGGAAGTATGTTTGGAATGATATTTAAAACGAGAAAGAAGGAGAAAAAGGCTATAAACAGTTATTGTTCAAAATAACAAGCATCAGCATATAAGTTCCCATAAAAGCCTCCTTGTTGGTTGGAAGTTCTCTCAAGAGCAGGCAAGTAACAGGAACCAAGGTTTGCAACAGGAAGGGAGGTCTGAGTAACAGCACAAAAGTGAGTTTTAAAGGTGCAGCACATGTGACAAGAGGCCAGTGAAGTCTAGGTTTATTGGACTAATTATAAAGGATTAATTATCACCCACAGCCATATTCTAGGTTTCTCATATGCATTAACAATGCAGCAGTGCCATCAGTGCATTAACAGCAGCTTTGAATTCCCTTAGAGGTACGTAGCCTTCCCTTGCAAAATCTGCTCCTTGCTTAAATTCTGCCATGCACACTGGGAACAACAGGAAAAGCTTTTGTGCAGTTTCACTTGGCAGGACAGGCCTGGGAGCCTTTGCSAGCCCCAGAGCAGGAGGGTGGCAGCAGGGAGGGGAAAAGGTCACTGGTTCAGCTGCTCGGAGGCCTTCACGTCCCTACTGCCTCCACACCACACGCCAGCCTCAGCCCTGCTCTCAGGCTCAACAGTTAGATCAGTATTTCCCCACTGCACTTAAAATAAAAAGGAAGAGAATAACCCCACAGCAGAATATATTGATTTTCACACCTCAGAAAAGAGCTGGGTGGGAACCAATGCAAATATAGCTTAAGACAGACTTGGACCAAAAGGCAAATATAAAACAGAGGATAAAGCAAGCTGACGCATTACAGCTCAGCTGCAACGAGCGGCAGCCTTCATGCAACCCAGCACTTGAAATTTGTTGTGCTGGCAACAGGCCAGCTCCCATTAATGAGATAATAATAAAATGAATTGCCAGCAGATCTGAATACGTTACGGTTAAAGCCTATTTACAGTGGCAGAAGGGTCCAGCATGGATTTGCACCACTCCACCGCTTCCACGGTGCACGACCGCATGGTCTCCGTGCGGCCGTGGTAGAAACGCCTGGTCATGGCGGTTTCGTAGCAGCAGCCCGGCCTAGGAGGAAAAATCGAGGAAGAGATTCTCACCAACCCTACAAAACTGCCTGGGTTCTCTGAAGGAGAAATGTCTGTGAAGTTCCCTGCACATCAAACCAAATCAGACCACTAATTTCCTTAAAATTTTATGTCTAAAAAGGAGCCTTAAGGAGCTAAAAACTTTAATGAGACCGATACTGAAAAAGTGCCAGTATTGTAGCTGTGCCTTGAAAAGGCTGCACTGTCGTGGCTGTTTGATGCAAACTACAGATCCACCTGTTTCTAGCATAAATAAGGCAAGCTTCCATTTCAACATGTATTCCCGCCACCAACAAAAATTCTACATCATTCAAAAACTCRGAATTATGAGCACACTTGTAATATGCAGCATCTCCCAATGCTTCTGTGCGAAATGAAAAGCTTCAGACCCTCATCTGTTGTATAAGGCAACTCAGCTGCTGCTGGGGAGGATCACTAGGGTTATGAGATCCTACCATTTAATGGGCCCTTCACATGTCACATAAAAGTGATGTTAAAAACTGGCTTAAAAGGCTATTTTAATTGGACAATTCATTTAGCCCAGGGTGGTGTGAACTGCGAGAGCTGGTGACCTTTCTCATGACGAGACAAGCATCACTGGTGATGGGATCACGCTCCCATAATGAAACCTTTCTCTCTGAAGCAAGCGATACCCACCAGGTCAGTAATGACTCACACAAGCCATGCTCAGTGCCAGCTGGGGAAAAGAATCTGGAGCACATCAGGAAGAAGAATGTTCTCTTTTACTAGGAATACAAACCAATAGGACGTGCCCAAAATGGAGCCAGGCATTTACATGGTCACTATCTGTATCTCTGTTATTCTGTCCCTGTTTTGCTGATGGCTGTTGCTTGCTACTTCTCATCTGAGCAACTCTTTGGTATTAAGGAATCAACTGCAGGTCAGACATTTCCTCACCTTCTGCTATTCAATTTGTTTTCACAGCTCGTACCACAACATGTGCATGCACATTGCCCATGGGCAGAAGGACACACTTGTCCTGAATCCAAAAGCATAAGCCCCATGGATTTCAGTTATGCAAAGTAAGGCCTTACTCAATTTTCCCAGTTAGGAAACCTTATGTCTCTCTTATATAACCTCAGCAAGCTCGGCAGTGGCATTGCAGAGCCTTCTGTATCTCCAGATCCATCTCATTTGCCAAGTATCTGCTTTTTTTTTTTTAATACCTCATGTGAGTAATGCACTTTTCTTACCGTCCATGACATTTGTAATAAGCCAGTTGGAGGGCAAGCTGCACAAACGTGTCAGGATGAAGCTTCTTCTTCCTAATCAGTGCTTTTCCAAATGATGTGAAGGCATAACTCACCAGCTGCAGGTCAGACACCTGTCAAACCGCGGGAGGAAAAGCTGTAAACAAAGTCAAGAACTGCAAAAATCACCCCCTTTAAATAAACAGAACACAGACAGCTTAAAAACAGACAAACACTCCCCCCCCCAAAACAAACAAACAAACAGAAAAACAGTGGCACAAATTTAGCACTCGTGTAAGATCTCTGGCTCAAATCAAAAAATCGCTAGTACACAGTCCTCTGTTCTCTGGCATGGAGAGAGGCCGYATTAAAAAAAAGCAAATATAATGAAAATCTCAGTGACAGTTAAGCAAGAGAAGCTGCTAGAAAGTCCACCTTCTGGTAATAGGATTCTTTAGCATGTTCAATTTCATTCATTAGTTTTTGGTCCACTGTGAACGCAAGTTCCTCTGGCCATGGAATATCCCTTACTTTATCAGAGCCCTGGGTGGAAAGGGGAGACAGAAAGTAAACAAAAAATGTTATCCATAAGAAAAGACCCATTAACTACTATACTTGAAAGCTTAGAGAACACATACCTTCCACTTGCCCTCATTTTCACTAATCTTCCCTTCAGTATGAGATAGCATGGCAATTAAAGCCATGGCATCAAAAGGAGAATGCTGGAATCACACAAGACAAGACATCACATTGTTTGCACAAAATGAAAAAGAATCAAGTTGTTTTTTTTCCCTCCTACCCTTCCCTTACCCCTGCAGCTTTACTGCACTGTGTTAGACTTGTTTTTCTAGTTCTTCTGCAATACATGTAGAACTACCTAAGTCCAGCTGCTGCTTTGCCTGCTCTGCAGTCAGGCAGAGAAACACAAGGCAGCACTGCTGTGGAGAAGGAGATTTCAGTCCAGAGTTAATTCTCAGCTGCCTTGTGCAACGTATTTCTTCTCCTTGGAACCCCCTCATTAAATACTTCTAGAAGTAAGATTATGATTTCACAACTCATATTCTTAATTCAGCTATGGGGTAACATCAAACACTGTAAAAGCAGACTGCAGTGGGAAGTTTGCCAGATAAAGTGCCTGGTAAACAAGACTGCACTAAAAGGGAACACCTTAAACATATTAAAAATATTATTCTGAAATGGAAAAGTTAGTGAAGAAATACTTGAAAGATTTATAAGGAAAAAAAAAAGGTAACTTACATCACAGAATGCACTACAAGTCCCATTGGAAAAGAAGATGCTGTTGTAGGATTTATCTCCCCAGCGGACAGTGGGATCACCTGTTAGCCCCAGTCTCATAACCTAAAGCAGAAGTTACACRGTGGGTGTATTCAGAAACCTCAGTTAAACCAAGCCTACACTAAAATGGTGAGGCCTGGCTCTGAGAGAAGACATTTGCAACCAGCTGAAGATAAAACATGCCATGTTTTAAACTAAGAGAGTAGTAAAAAGCTGGCAACTGCATTTCTGCAGAGGCTGGAGCATGGTGGGCTGGCAGATTATACAGGTAGATTTCAGCCATTCCCACTTCCAGTATTCTAACAGTCAGAAGTGCTTGAATATGCCTGAGCATCCACAAGAAACCTAATCTGMACATTTATCCGCCTCATTTGCTCTGTTCTAGAGCAGCACAATGAGTTACTTTACCACAGGAAGGGTATGCATATTTAAATAAGAAAACTGTATATAAAAACCACCAAATAAGAGGTATGAAAAGTCCTTAGCTACCTCGGTGTAGTTTTCAGGAGTTGCATGGGGACTCGCATCATCCAGGCAGACCACAAACAGGCTTTGCTGAATTTTTTCCAGAAGAGTCAAGTTTTTTGGATCAAGATCAATTAAATGTTGACGCATCTATATGGCATAAAAAGAGAAAGTTAAATGAAATGCCCTGCTTCCAACAATCATAAGGCTTTTCTGCAAAATCAGTCGATGAATTATTCCCACCTTTGCCCATTTTGTCCTTTCCTCGCTTGTTAAGGCCGCCAGTCCTGGTCCATCTGGTTCACTAGAGCATCTTTTCTGGATATATGTAAGTTGCCTTTAAGTTAAAAATGAATATAAAGAGATGAGATTTTATTCATCTTTCTCGAAAAGCTGAAAATTTTGTTCAGCGTTCAGAGGCTAACATGTAATTTCAGGAAGAGCCCATCAGCTCCTGCAGGATGGACGGGCAGATGAAGATCTCTCCATCCTAAGTGTAATAATTAGTTCAAATTGCAGCTATCAGCCCAGGACAGACTTACATGTAAATGATGACGGTCCTGAAATATTCTCTATGTGCTTAACCCAGTTTCAAACTCTGTTGAAGATTTCAGCAGTGCAGCTCAAAGTTTCCTTAGCAGCAGACACTCCCAGTACTACAGCTTTTCTAGCTTTTCTAGGGCAAAATTTCAACGTAAGAAAAATCCTAAACTGTATTGAAAAACAGTAGTTTAAAAAGAGTTTATCCTAAGGAGAGTGAACGRCACAAGAACACTTCTGTTCCTACCTCTTCTTTGAATTTACACTTCACAGAGCTGTTAACAGAGTTGATTTTAGTTTGTAAATCAGTCTCTGCACATACTGTTCTGGCTTTATTAAATAAACTTATTACAGAATTTCTTTAAGATTGCAGACATGAGTCTTACTTGCCCTGTGTTATGGCACTCTTACCCATTAAACCTCATGYCTGATCATTTAACAACTGTCAAAAATACAAGATACTCATGATGAAGCTACCAAAGAAAGACAACAGCCTTTCCATAGGCAATAGAAGCTTTACATCTGGGTTATACTGAGCTAATACATTTTCCATTGGTTCCTTTCTTTGTCACTTGCTTGATCTAACACGCACTGCCACAAAAATGAGGAATATAGATGTTGAAATATGTTTTGCAATTGTTAACATACCAGACTTCCCAGAAAAGTTGGCTGAGCTGCTCTAACTAGACATTTTCCCTGCCTAAGGAATTTGGCTATACATCTTCTGTTAATTTTAACAGGTATCTTTTTTTAATTATAGAAGAAAAAGAATCCCTCTGCTGCACTCCGAAAGCAACACTTAAYAAATGTAGGAAATTCTTCCTAAAAGATAAATGTGCCACCCCTCTGCAGGAAGCAGATGCACTTGGGTTCCAGAYTGATCTGAAGGCACTTACACTGGACCTACTTCTCTCAAAGTGATATTAGACTATGGCAAAGGCACAGAAAARGTGGTGGCAGCAATGGCATCGCCCATTTGAAAAGCTGGCACCTCTGCCYGTGGTTGTGATTTACTGGGAGACAGGAAAGCAGTCATGGAAAAGCGATACACATCAACCAGCTGCACTAGCAGCACTGAAAACTACCATTTAAAGAGCCCAATTCTTTCTGTCTGCTCCTTGGCAGCATTTCAAGGTATGAAAGAGCACAAACAAGCCTGGTTATCCCCAGTATGGTRCAAAGACAGGATATGTGAGTGAAATGTTGCTGCACTGCTCTGATGCTGGTGGAAAGTACTGCCAGTCMCTGTATGCGAGGATTTTTGTCTCTGCTGCAATCACCAACAAGAAATACAGCCCTCTAACCCTGTCAAAAGTGACCACAGGTGTACAAATTTTAAGTGGAGTCRCAAGGAAAGTGGGGCTTTATCTTTACTAGGCAATTATCTGTATGGATTGATATTGTTACTTATAATCCTGAGAGGTCCATGCCAAAAATCGTCACACACAAACGAGGTCCCCCGTTGAAACACTTTCATTTAGTGCTTCTGCATGAAGTTCTAGGGTGTATCACAAAAGTACCAGATCCTCATGTTTCATGACAAGAATATGCCATGCACTGACCCAGAATTTACTGAAACTGGAGCCTTCAGCTGCAGGGGATATAATTTAGGGGGTGAGAGGCATGGAGAAAAGAGATTGCCTTTGATATGTAGCTCAAACACAACAGCTCAGTTGAAACAAGATAGTTTGAAAACCTGGCCAGCTCCGGAGGGTTCAGCAAGCTGCCTTCATGCAGGGCATCAAAGGCAAACACTCGGCCTCGGCACAGGACCACTAAGTGAGAAGGGCATTCACCTTCAGTCTCTGCAACAAAGGGAAACAACAGAAAACAAACACATAAGAACCCAACACTAACGACGAAGTGAGTGACACATACAGAAAAGGACCACTCAGTGAGACCTGCAGATACGTTTTTGATCAACATGAAATACTTTATACAATTAAAGGCAGGCATCGAGACTAAAAGAATAACTTTCAAAGACTAACTATATAATTTTGCAGCAATTTTAAAGGTTCTTTTTTAAACAGGAGAAAAAAATCTAAATAACTACGTAAGTTTCACTGTTAATATCGACTTCAAGCCACTGTTACAGCCTAGCAGTAAACACGTCACGGATTTCTGCATCTTGGAAGTAAGAAAATTATAGAAAATAAATGTTGGTTTCTGAAATTTGATCACCAAGTCCATTGTATATATTTTTTTAACTTTTTATAATGGATATAAACGTGTCACTGAGGYACTTGATTCGGTTGCCCATGCAGAAAAATGCAGTGTCACTTGACATGTATTTAAAAAGCATCTAAAGCATTTGGCACCCTGTTCTGGTTTAATACAGGGTCTAGGAAACCTGTACCCTTCTGAGCTGCAGATGGTAAACCTGGAGGAGTCTCAAAATCATTTCTGATGGAAAAAAAATGAATCAAGCCCTTCAGCTATTATCATTTTCCTGCAGCCAGTTGCAGATAATGTGGTTCGGGAGCACAGATAGACATGAAGTCAACAAGACCTGGTCAGTACGTGCAAATGTGTTGAAGCAGAGCACTGACACACAAATTTTGCCCCTATGCAGAAATACAGGTGACACTGGCCCACACTGGCCTTGATTTGCCAAACTGCATATTGGAAAGTAATGCTAAACAAATTTGAAAAGGTTCTCACAAAAACACAGATGTTTTGTCTCACAAAAACACAAAAACCCCAGGAAATATGGTTAAATTCCTCTCAAACCGTCCTTCTGTGTCACGTTTACTCTAGCCCAGAATTCTGCCTTGGAAAAAGAAAAAACAATTGCTGCCTTTTCCACAAGTATGGCAGTTACATCCAGGAATGGACATCCAAAAAAACTTTAATCTTAGACATAAGGTATATGTCTTTTACATCTTTCTTTACAGCTTGCTTTCCAAATTTGATAATACAACTCTATACTATCTAATCTAAGCACACAGGAGAAATCTATTATTTCATAACCTATTAACCTACTCAAAAAGTTAAAAGTCCTAACGTAGAAAAAAATCATAATAGATGATGGCAAATTAGCATACATTAGATAGCATCTTCCTAGCTTTAGCTGTTTAAAGAAAAGAGTAACTAAGCATGGGAATGAATTAAGAATTAAGGGCCTGACCTCCCCAATACCCTCTATGACATCTGGGGAGCTCTTCATTTACCAACTGGTAGTGCTGGGGACACTGATCAGGCACTCTTGGTTTCAGGATAGTGGGATCTTCAAGACCCAATGTCAAATTTGAGCTGTCTTGCTCTGCAAGTTTGAATYCTATTTTAAGTGCCCAGACTGAGCTAGATCCATCTATAGCCAAGGGACACAGGAGGGGACAATTCCTTTCACCTGTTTTAGACACCTGCTCACATGTGGATGACCTGAATCATTCTCTGAGCTATTCATTTCTCTTCACCAGTCACAGAGAGAACCAAGGCAACTAAATATTTCAACTAGAGGTAGATGATCTACAAGGAAATATATTTTGCCTGCTGCATGAGAAACGTGAAAAATGCTAAAGCAAGATCTTTTAATGAACATCTTGGAGTATTTTAAAGCAGGAAGGGATATGAATAACATATCTGCGCAGGATCRTAGCTGCTTTACTTATTGAATGCAATCATATTGGGACGTTCTGCATTTCAGTCACCTGGGTGCTTATTCTATACATTGGTATTTAAACTGACTCCTGAAGTGTAACCCTAATTTAAAAAAAAAAAAAAAAAGGAAGTTGCCTGCAACCTTGAACCGTATCTTCCTAAACCCTGTATCTTCCTAACATGTCCTGTTGTATAGAAATTTCTGTAAATAACTTCTATGAACTTTTACGAACCATACCAATCCCTCTTTCCACTTGAATTCCCAAGTTTTGCAGTAATTAACATCTCCCTGATCCACTAGCAGAAAAATCCTAAAGCCCTGTGAATGAGTCAGACCAYGGGGATGATTTCAGTCACCTGATTATTAATACCATATGATTTGCTAGCATAAAAACCATTACTYTTTTTCTCCAGCTCTTAATCCTGTACCCCTGAAAGCCATCCAGAGTTAAGAGAAAGGATTTGAGAAAGTATCACTGGGCTACTTTCAAAACTGAAAGAGAAGGTTTTTGACCAAGCCACAAAATGGCATAAAGATAAAAAATAAGTAAGAAGCATCCCACCTGACTATATGGGAGCATACTTGAGAAAAACTGCTGTTGTTAAAAAACATAATAAATGATGTTGAAATGCTGTCCATTTCATAAACGGAATTCACCCACATCTATAATACACTGAATTTGTTTTTTTCCAAATTCTAAATGCTAGCATACTCGCTAGACATCAAGGCTGGTAACATACACTTTGGAGCTTCTAATACGAAATCTTCTAATATTAACTAAATACCAGAGTATTAACTAAATTAACATTWCATTATAWATTATAATTATATATTATACCAATACCAAAATCAAACCAAAATTAGTGGATTAGATTTCTTCAATTCCCTACATAATTACTCAACAACCAGTATCTGACCCAATGCTTCAGAAATCAAATGCTTTATGATTGAAATGCCCAGTCCATTAGCTTTCAAATGCCAAATCACTTGCTTGTATTAACCAGAGCTTGCATTTGTTTACCAGTTTTAAAATAATTGCAGATTGAATCTCTGGTAACCCCCGGAATCTTGCAAGTGCAGAAGAGCTTTCGGAATTGGCTCATGTCCAGAACAGCATTCCCAGATCTCTCTACTGCCACTTTCTCTCTGCAGTAAACAAAATACACAAAAATTAAGCAAGCACAAAGGCTGCAAGACAAGCCCATCCTCTATTGCAAAGAATTTATGTCAATGAACATGAACATATTTTCATGACTCAAGTCATACACACATCATCAAGAAGAAATAATTAAATCTAAATATTTAAGTCTTACGTTCTTAATAGATCCCAGTATTTCAGGGTGTGCCATATATTAACACATGCTCTCTCTATCTGAGTGCCTTCTTTGGGTGGCCAGTAGGTTTCAATATAGGGGCCAGGGCCTCCTATGTTACAGTATATTTGCGTTGATATGCGAAGATCAAGATAAGCCACATTCTGCCACCATTCCTCCAGCTGAAAATGAACAATRTTTACCATCAGAGTATGTTTTAGGCATAATTCTTTAATAATCACTCAAATAGCAGTTCAACTGTCTAATCTCCCTTAAATTCTAAATAAATAAAYAAACAAACAAACAAAYAAATAAAWTTGAAGAGTAGTTCCTCTAACAGAAGGCAGGACAGTGGTTGCAAAGCTACCTGCTAAGGAATGACATATCTAGCTCTTTCCATGATGCTGAAATTAAACTCAATGCTGTTTAAGGTTATTAAACAATGAATTTCTACAAAGAGTTCTCCCTGATGCTCATCTTCTGCTTAAGTAGAAGTAGTGTAAGTAAGTGTAGCTGTTAGCTGMAGCTGCTGTGAGTACCAGAGGGATCATTCCATAAAAAGTGGAAAGGCAGCAGACATATTCATCATGTATCTTTTCTATCCTGATTTCAAAATTCTCTGCTATGTGTCATGTTAAGATTTACAGAGCTCTCAAAAAATTGCATTTGAGAACAGTCCCCCCRATACCTCTTTCTCTTCTGAAAGACAATTTTAAAATGCTGTCATGAAAATTCTTCAGGAAGTGAAAGGCATCGATCTGTAAATTGTTTTTTTTTCCAGAGAAGGGAGTGATGAGGAGACTAAGAGAGAGTGTGTTTCAAAAGCCATCCAGTTAGCCACTTAGCTTTGAAACAGCACTTACATAAGCAAGCACAGTCAAGTTTGCAGCTGAGTAGTAAACATAATGAAGATGCTAAGATTGAAGATTACATTCAAGTGCCTCACAAAGATCCTGAACCACCAGTTTTCCATTTGTTCTCCAAAGAGATGCTATTACCTTCTAGCCTAGTGAAGCAGATGCAGCAACATATAGACCCAATAAAAGAATAAGCTACAATTTCTCAAGTATGTAAATACATACCCAATTCCTTCTTGTTTTAGCTCTTTCCAGTAATTTCTGATGCAACTCTTTTCCAATCCCATTTTCAAAATTTTTAACTATACGTTCAGTTCTTTGATATTCTTCTTGATTAAGAAATGGTTTCACTGCAAAGGAAACATTTTTAAAGAGAACTGYATACTGAGATTCATTCCAAGATTCAGATTTGCACAGGCAAAAAAAGGGAATGAAAGGGCTCAAAATGGGTTTTGGGGTTTTCTTTTAATACTTAAGGGGGGGGGAAAAAAGACCCCTTGAAAGCTGTAAATAAATCACAGCACTTTAATAACAAACTCCAATAAACAAAATGTCAATAAATGAAAGCAGTTGTTAAAACCTTGAAATATCTAATAGATAATTAATTACAATATATCCAGGACTGCACAGATACTTGTACAGAATTCACTAATTTATCAAATTAATGTGAACTTTGCTTGGAAGTTAGCGTGTTGAGCCATATATTTCTATCCTAACCACAAGCACGCTAACCACAAGCTACCTGYCTGCACTTTCAAGGCTATTCATCATCTACAAGGACTTTGGCCATCAGTTCTCATTCACTATGCCCACGTTCATACCTACCTTTGATGGACACTCGTGACAGTTACTGGTATCCAATTTTTCTATTTTAAAATACCTTTGTATTTCTCTCTGATCACCTGCCACATGGGCTACAGATCTTTCTAAACATTCYATGCAAACATCTGTAAAACTCCTCATTAATCTAACCTCCTCCTTAAGACCTTTGCACCATGCCATATATAGTTAGTAAGTGGTGCAGAAGCTGGTCTGCATGGAGGCACATCCAATTGTTTGCGGACACTTACCCTGCATATAATGTGTTGTTATCTTTATACTTAGGCTACAAAGTCTTTGGCATAGGGTGTTGTTCTCTTCTGCTTGTTCAACAACTTCACAAAAAGARTATGTCTGATTCTTTTTGGAGGCTGCTGGACACTATGACCAGTAGGAGGAAGATCTCCTGGATCTCCTGACAGTGAGACTCCCGGCTTCCCAGCCCAGCCCATGACACCACTGGCCTATTTGGCCACATTTGCTGACCCACGGCCTGCTTGTTGCTTACCAGGACCCCAGTGCCTTTGCTGGATGGCTGCTTCCCAGCCAGCTGGGCCCCTGGGCCCCGTCATGTTCTTATTCCCGTGTGCAAGACCTGGCACTTGCTTTGCTTCTGCTCAGCTTCATGAGGCTCCTCTCTGTGCATTTCTCCAGCCTGCTGGCGTCCTTCTGAATGGCAGCACAACTCTCTGGGGTATCAACCACTCCACCCTATTTCATGTCATCTGCAAACCTGCAGTGGGTGCACTCTGCCCCATTATTTGGGTCATTAATGAAGGTTAAACAGCACTGACCTCAGTACTGACCKTTGGGGGACACTACTAGTTACTGGTCTCCATCTGGACTGTGTCACTAATCACAACCCTCAAGCTTGGCCCATCAGTGAGTTTTCAAGGTCCTTCAATGACCATTTTTCTAGACCACACCTCGTCTGTTTGTCTGTTGTGATGCTATGGCAGACTGTGTTGAAAGCCTGGCTAAAATCCAGACAACACCCAGTGCTTCTGGTGGGACTGCCCACCCAGCCAGTCCTTATCACCACAGAAGGCTGTCGGGTTGGTCAAACACAGTTGGTCTCCCCTTCGTACACCCGACCACTCCCAGTCACTGCCTTGCTCTTATTATGTTTGCAAAGGCCTTCCAGGATAGCTTTCTCCATCACCGTCAGCTTAGACTGAACAGCTTGTAGTTGCCTGGATCTTTCYTCTTGCCCTCTTGAACACAGCAGTAACATTTGCTTCTAGTCCTCAGGAACCTCCTTCATTTGCCACGACCGTTGAAGAGTGGAGCTAGCGAGGAGCTAGCTCCCCCGTGGTGCACCCCATCACACATGTCCCCTTTACATGTTCCCTAACCTGATCCTCCCCCATCAAGGCTGTGTCTTTCTTGTCTTTCTTCAAAATAACTCAAGGTTTATCCTAATCATAAAAGGAACTGCAGTATTTTGCAGTATCTTTTCTAAYGCAAAAAGCAAAAAATCTATTCCAGCTCTATCCAGAGGTACCTGTGCTGCACCTACAGCCCAGCTGAACAGGATCAGCTAAGCACACTCAGGCATCATCAAATGCACTCAGATCTCACCTAGATGCAATTTGAATTGTAYTATACACTTCTGAACACAGAGTGAGCAAGAAAGGATAGAGAGCCACCCACCCTGACTGGAACAGTTTAGCACTTGCATCATTCAGCAGGATATGGAAAACCTGTAGCCCAGACCCTTCCCAGCCTGAACGCTGTCACACACAMAGGTTTCCAAGCGAGTGTCCTTGCTCTTTTACACAGTGTAAAAGGAACCATTATCCTGTGTTATTCAGGTCTGTTATTTGGGGTACAAAGTCACTACAAAATTATATGCACACAGCTGCCCTAAAAAATAAAATTAAAAAAAATATACTGGATTCTGGCCCCTGTTGAAGCGGTCGAGGGACAATTAGGGGTCTGCAGCTCAAGACAGTGAGAAGCTGAGAACTGAGTTTGGCCAGTTTAAGAGACTACAAAGGGAACATCTAGCTGCAGTCTGTAACAATCAAGTGCAATAGTAAACGGAAGACAAAAGCTCAAGACAGGTGATTATGACAAGGTCTAAAGAAAAAAAAGAAAACAATGTATTTTTCAATTATGATGGTGCTCAAACTCTGGAAGGGGCTGCCCAGAGAGTCTGCGGAATCCACCCTTGCAAATATTAAAACTCAACTGAGCAAGGCCTCCTCTCAGCGGACCTGCTTTCAGCAGGATACTGGTAAAGATGATTTCTGTAGGTCCCTTCCAAMCTACGTGACTCTAAGACTAGATGTCCATTTTCCATTTGAAATCAATTCAATCTGATGACCAGGAAGGAAGGAGAACTTGGCTGCTTTCTCATTAGTCTTCAGAGCAGCTTCTGTCTTGCCTCTCTTTCTAGGTTCCCTTTCTGCACAAGAACTCAGCTCCATCCATGAACAAGGAGTATCCCCTGGGAGCAGCCTCAGCCCTTCTGAAAGTAGGGCTTGGCATTTTCATCCTCACAGACTAAGGGGTTCAACACTCCCAGCTGCAACCTCTGAGGTGAGCTGAAACACCACATACTGTGGCTATTTCCACCTCCTCTGCTCAAGGATTCCCTTCAAAAYAAGGTTAGGAATTTTGACTCCAGGGCAGAGGCAGCGGCATTAAGTGCTGAATATGGCACACTTGGAAACCCACACTGCCCAGCTTGTCTAGCTGCCTGGTTTAAAACAGGTGAGTTTATCCTTTATCATCAAGCAAACTGACTCATGTTAAGTACCTCCTCTGACCCACACAGGGCAGGCAAAGTGAGTCACAGCATTTACGTAGGGTCATTTGGAGGCTCTAAGTCATTCTTTAGAAGCACAACCTGTGCTTCACCCACCTGCACGGACAGGAACATGAAGAGCTTAAGCTTTCAGAATGACCTACCCAGCACCTAGAGTCATGCGTGCAGAACGTGGCTTTATGTGAGTGTTGTTCTACCACAGGCTTTCCTTGTGCAAGTAMTGGAATAACCTTCCTCCAACTTCCATTGAGATTTGAGAGGGCCACAGGGATGACTGAATACGCCCAAGGAACACTAAGGAGAAAATAACTTGAGCATTAGAAGAAAACACAACTGAGGAATGTTGTGATAGATATCTATGAAAACAGAGATCAGGCAAGAGCRAGCAAAGACTGACAGTTTCCATTACTCCAGGAAAGGGTATTTATTAGCTCATAAAGTCCAGCTGGATTCACAAAACTGAGTTCTAAAGAGCAATTCTGCTATTGTCTGCCTTCTGCTATCACAACGCATGTAATTGCAGTTATGTGCATTACAACAAAAAGAAAAAAAAATTGTTGATGAAGACATCTGTGACATAACAGGTCACCATTTCAGCCACCATTTCAAAATTTACTATGAAAGCATGATAGGAGAGTCAAACAAAGAGCATTCTCCTACTACCACTAGCACGCATCGCACCATTTCTACTGCACTCCATTAGAACAGAAGGGAACTCAAAGTGAAGTTAGGGGTTTGCTTTTTGGCAAAGGGGATATTGGTGTAATGCTGGTTTCTGCTAAGGACAGAATACCAAGTTTTATTCTGTTGCCATTTCTGTCTTGGGGTAAGATAGTAAGTCAAGGYAGCCATTTGAGAGAAAAGCTCAGTGGGTCCGAGTTCTGAAAAAAAGATTAAATAAGCACTAAAAAAAAGTAAAAAAGGAAGATACTGGCCAATTTAACTTTGTCCTTCCTGGTTTATCAAGGCCTGATATGACAACAAAGAACGAACCAACCCGCTCTRCTCTATAACCGAAGCGACACACGTTTGCACTGATGTTGTTTTTAAACTTTTCCCTTACTCTATCCTGTTTAGGCAACAAGCATTTCARGGCAGAAGACTTGCCAAGTTAGATTATCCAAAAAAAGCCCGCTACTGCCTTTCCTTACTGCTGTATAATTAATAATTTATGAAAAAAAAAAAAACATTTAGCTATGAAAAAAAGACCTTGAAATCCCCTTTTTACACAAAGTCAGGCACAAAGAAGTCATTATGCAAAAYAATGTTTGTCAGGCAGTATCTTTCACCAGAAAAGCTGATATARCTGCAAAAGATAAGCCCTTGGCAGGGGGGAAGATCCCAGACCAACCTTCTCGCATACCTGGCTGCTTTCATGCCAATGGRAGGCAAGTAGGGATAAGATGGGAACTCGTACTCACGGCTGCTCTGTCATTTTGATTCCTTTTCTGGACCTAAAGAAAGGGGGTTTATGCCCTAAACTTGCTTGGACTGGCCTTAAAAGAAATCCGTGGCAGTTGGTAGAGCCTGTGCCTACAAGCGTGGCTTTGCAGCCACCGCGAGGGCCGGGCGCCCCGCGCCTCCGCCATTACCTGCCTCGAGGTATTTCTGCAGCGACTCCTCGAGCGGGGGCACGGGCAGCGGCGGCAGCGACTCCTGGTACTGGAAGGTGCGCTCGGCGGGCGCCGCCACCACCTGCTTCTCCATGACGGGCACCTGCGGCACAGCCACAACCACAGACACCCATCAGGGACCCCGCGGGCGGGCGTCGCGAGCCCCCGGCGGCTGTTTTCGTTCCCCCGCTATTTACGCGGTTAAAGC